GAAGTCAGTCACTAGTGAGCAGATGATTATTATTATCAGAAGGGATTGTGTGGAGATTTTTAGGAATTTCACTGGTTGAAATCATGAATCCATTGAAGCTAGACCACCATGGGAAACCTGGAAGCACTGGACGGCCATTTCGTCCTAGTATGGGACTCCTCAGCAGTGCGCATCCACGATCCCGCTCCTCGCGAGATTCGAACCCAGGACCTATCAGTCTCGCGCCAGGCGCTTAACCAACTAGACCACTGAGCCGGCATCCAACGGTGATAATGTCTAACTTCAACCAAGCGCCTGGCGTGGGACTGATAGGTCCTGGGTTCGAATCCCGCGGGGGGCGGGATCGTGGATGCGCACTGCTGAGGAGTCCCATACTAGGACGAAATGGCCGTCCAGTGCTTCCAGGTTTCCCATGGTGGTCTAGCTTCAATTGATTCATGATTTCAACTATTGAAATAATCAAATATGTTTATAGACAACACCCTGGTAATCAGGTAAAATTGTTTAAAAGATTTTAACGACTTTGTAAAGTTTCAAAAGGTAAAAGGACCCTGGAAAATATCATTGATCGGCTGGGTGACAATGAATCAACAAGATGGATTAACCTCTTGCTAGGCATATACGGTTTATTTGGTCCCATCGCATAAACATATTCGATATGAATCCTTTATTTGATTTTTTTTTTTAAATCGACCTGGGACATGTTGTCATTCGCGATCCATTATTATTTGTGTAAGTTTAGTATATATTGTATCATTATCGTTCAACAAGCTAATACTAAGGCTTGTCATTACATGCATATCCAACTTCATATCTAACAGTAAGCACTAGATCATTGAGCCATTATATTGATTATCGATAGTTTAAAATCCTTTCATCTACTTTTTGACAGAAACTTGATGGACAACTGTATTTTAGGGCTTTTGATTCACTTGAAAGTATGTATATATTATATATTTCAGTACGATGATAGTATAAATTTCATTGGCATGATTTGAAGGAAAGTCAACAGATCAGTAGATAAAAATCATTTTCATCTTTTCAGCTAAAATATGATTACACGGTTAACTTTTAAACATTCTTGTAAATTCGTCTACATTTTTGTTTACAGCAAAACTTTGGTTATCATATTGATTTTTATCAGTGTTATGAAATACTTTATTTTGTTTATCATCTGTATTTCACTTTATGATGATCGGCTTCATTTTTAACTATACGTAATTTAATATCAGAAGGGGTTTTTGTGGATATTATAGTAATTTTAATAGTTAAGATCATGAGTCAATTGAAGCTAGACCACCATGGAAAACCTGGAAAAGCTGGACGGCCATTTCGTCCTATCGTGGGATTCCTCAGCAGTGCGCATCCATGATACGTAGTTTACTGACTCACTGATTAAAAATCAATTTGTGATTGTCCTTTTAAAGTCTCTATAGTTTCTTGCATAATACTGATACATTAATTCACAAATTTACTTGGGATATGAGTAACTGAATTAACTTGCAAATGTATCAGAAAAAATGTACTTGACTAAAGCAGTTCCATCTGACTTCTTTAGTTTTATTTTATAGCTGAAGTTTGTGGGTAGTCTAAGCAATCTGTATAACACTTTATATTTTTACGTTTTACATAAGCACATTGTTTTATTTATCAATACAATCATAGTGCAGTTACATAAAATCACATATAGAAAGGAGATCGTTAATATGCAAATATTTGTTGAGTCAATTTTTGAAGTGTATAATTCACTTGTTTACGATGTTTAATTCACAGGTTTATACCTGTCTTAGTAAATGTTGTTTGTTGTCAATCATTACAGTTGCATTTTGCAAACATAAGTATCATGAATATTTTTTATGTGTTCACCTATTCCAGCTGTTCGTTACAGAATTTATAATACCATATGATTATTATTGTATTGTCAGTATAATGTTGTGTAGAATGTTGCATTTCATTGAAATCATGAACTGATCATAATTAGACAGTTATTTAAAGCATGGAAATACTGAATGGCCATTTCGTTATGTTTATCACCAGAGTTCTTATTGGTTAGTTTATTTTCCCTTGAACTAATCGGCTTACAAACAATTTCCTAGTTTTGAGCACAGTTGGTTTAAAGACTGTAACCAATAAAATTACCAGGAAAAGTTATTCGAAAAGTTTATTCCACACAAACTGTATACATGTACGTAATTAAATAAGTAAATGACTTAGGAATAGTTTAGTCCGATTATTTTGAAGAGTAATTTAAATCCATCATACATTTCATCATAGACCGATATCGACTAAAAAAGTCTGAAAACCAAAGAACGCAGGACAACTATTTCACCCAAAATTTCAGGATTCTTCAACAGTGGCAGTTGACAGCCTTTCACTGGATCGTATATGTGACCTTCAGGTTTTGCAATCAGAATCAACTTATAATGGTGATCTGGAATATTAGAAGCTGATGTTACTGAAAGCTGTTCGCAAAAAGTGAATTATTTTCCACAAACTATCCAAACTCCTCCCTATTGACTCTTTATGAGATGGATTCTTGACCATCTGGAGAGACTGCATGATGGATATAGTTCAACCTTATTTGAAACAAAACAGTCACCCATCAATGCCACGAGATTATTGTCTCACTATATTTTGAGTCTACTGAAGCCTAAAATTTGAAATATTGGATTGGATAATGCAATTCATAATTGTAATAGGTTTACATACAGTTGAGGTTGTTTGTTGATTTATTTATCTAAACGCTTATTTCCAAGCATATTCTGCAAAAATGTCGAAACAGGGTCCAGTTGTAACTTTAGTTAAAATAAGTGAAACATGATCTTTAAACTTGATTTAATTCTAAAACACAAATTATCTGGCTGAATACAAAAAAGTGGGTGAATGTAGTCAGTTAGAAAAGGCAACAAAGAACACATAATTCAAATAGTAGTGAAAATTTCAACAAACAAATAATCATGCGTTACAGTCATACTTATAAGAAGAGTATAATTTCACTAATTAGCAACAAGATAAATATAGACCAAGATCAGGCTTGGAAAGGTAGGGATTCAAAGTAAATTATTATTCGTCATTTTAGTCATAGACACAACTGAAATTTTTAGGTGTATTAATTTCTGTAGAGTAGCGATTTCTGGCACATTAACTTTCTAGACCCTTTGTCATTTTTTATGGTTTTTCAGTCGATTTTAGCTGATGGTAAAAACTTTCGTGAAATGATGAAAACTGTTCAAAAAGGTATACAAATTCTGTATGAGAACGCTTCATTGTAATGTGGAGCTTCACCACAGTAGAGTTGCTGAAAACGATTTAGTAATCGATAATTAGATCATCACATCCTAACAAATAACCAGTTGTAAAGGTTTATATTTTCTCTTTGTTGATGTTATGGTTTGAAATGGACCAGTCCCTTTTAAATACGTACATGTATATGCATTCTCATCAGATTGGCCCGATAATGTATTTAGTCACAAGTTTCTAGTTCACTAATTTAACCAAGTTTGTGATTTACTACTGGCTCCATACGAAACATACTTGCAAATTATCATTTCGAAATTGTCGATCTGTTCTAAAAACTCTGATTCCTGACTAAATAACAGGAAATTAAATTGCGATGGATAAACAAAAAAGACTACCAGAAGTTTTTTCAGAAGATTTAGACAACCTTGGACAAGAAGACACATCTTTAAAAAAAAGAAACGTAACACCGGAAAAATGATTCTTATTGAAATAGGTGCTTGATACAAACTTTGTTGAGTAATCCTAAGCCTGAGAAGTTATTTATTTATTTATTTTAACACATAGATATTGGTACAAGGAGGCACCAAATACATATGCGCCACACGAATCTCATTTGATATGTGTGGGGGCTGTGATACTGCTCGGGTGCCCAAACCGAAACATGTGGTTTTCTTAGGGGGCCACACCCTGAGCCTTCGACCTGAAGATCTGATCCACAAGACAGTGGAGCATCGAAAGGAGATGCAGTCCCATGGTAGCCGGTGACCAACGATTGGTTCATACGCCATTTGTTCCTTCAGGATACTGGAGCCCATGTGCACCATAGAATTGGGATCCGGTTAAAGTGCCGGACATTCGCTTTTCGTTCTCTCATTTTCGTAAACAACACCCCCGCCACGAGAAGGCAGTGAGTAGGACTTCCCCGGCAGAGGCTGTATACGCGTGGTCATGTGAGTGCATTTCGAGAGAGAGAGCGGACTCTCCCCACTGTCGGCCGTACCAGGGCAGTTGGGGGCAAAAGATAGACACGTAACACCGGAAAAATGATTCTTATTGAAATAGGTGCTTGATACAAACTTTGTTGAGTAATCCTAAGCCTGAAAAGTACGACCCAACTACCTTCTCATCCTGAAGACATAGACTTAAACGTCAGATATTAGTTCATTAAACGAATGACTATAAATGAAAAGGTATAAAAAAATCATTTTCCACTGCCTCAGTGAAGAATAGTAATGCACTGTTATCATAACAACGTTTACTTGATTTAAATCTTCGTGAATACCCAATCAATAAATTAAGACAATGATTAGATTAAACTCATGGTAATGCATATTAATGTAAGAAATGTTATTGTAACTTAAAAAGTTAGCAAATTTGGTCAGTTCAATGTCTTTGATAATAAAATATAAACAATTCCGGGTAATCAAATGAGGTTGGATCAAACGATAAGTTATTATTTTAAAATCAAATGAAAGAACTATCAGTTACTGATTGGGTCAATTAAGAAAATCTTAATTTTAATTTTTTTTTTTTAAAGACTCTTATTGTACTAGCTGATTATTTTCCTTCCTTGACTAAAGCCCTCTCCGACAGTCAAAGATACCCATGGTCTTTTGATTATATTTAACTTGACGACAAATAGGATATATAATACAAAAGTCCGAATACTTTATTTAACAAACAACCTAACTTTTAAATCACTAAACATTCGATAATTAAAATGCTAATTTTGTTTTGATCCACGTTTTTTCTCATTGTAGTTAACAAGAGAAGTTAGAGTGATCAAATCAATTAATCATCCAAATATTGGTAAGAGTCAAATTATATTTATATAAGTTTTCTGTTGATATATAGTTGATAACTTAACAGTTTACTTCGACTAGTTAGTTCCTTATTAGTTGACAAAAGTAACTTAATAGTTCATTTGTATTAGTTGTTTGAATCTTCCGATCGATGTTTGGCGCTTCAGTTAATCAGCCGCTTTTTTGAAATATGTGCAACCTGTGTGGTTTACTTCGATATTGTCATTAAGTCACAAGCGATCCACACAAGACGGACAAACGACAAAAAGGTGACTGGTAAATTGTGGTGCTAAACAACAATGATAAGATTCGAACAACTAATATAAATGAATTAAACTTTGCCCCATCGCACAACCAATGTCTGTCCGAACCGAAGAGCTAATGAGATAACGTGGTGGTGTTTGAAGTGGACGGTAATACGTTCGAAGTGTTAACTAACTTTGAGATGCAGAGACATAGAGATATGAGTCCCAAATGAGACAAAACGCGTATCGTGGATTCCATCGCTAGTCACCATCCATCTCTGCTTATAACACAAACAGGAATGAGATTAGATATTCAGAAACTCACTTCGATACCTGAAAGGACGTCGAATGATTAAACTAAGTATTTTATAAATAATTTACTATATGATGTTTTAAAGTAGGCACCATTCAACTGACAAAACCGTTTTCACTTGTTCAAACTTCTTAAAAATCAAAATTATTTAATAGCTACTGAAAAGCCTTGATGAAAATAAATAAAATGCTTTTTGCAATATGAAAATATCAATGTTCATGTATCTACAGCAAGATTTAAATACATAATCAATGCTTTTGTTATCTGCTATTGTCAGAGCTATTTTTTCATCTCAGGTGATTGTAATGTTTAGATATTCGTGAAATTCTTATCAACCATCACCTCAATCAGATGGGTCGATATTTAATAATGCAGAGCAAAGTGATCAAGTCTAGTTTGTATGTACAGAGCTATGATTAGCATACCATTTACTTTGCAGACTATTTCTTGACTATCAGGATTAATTTGTATGGAGATTTCTATAAGACAATGGAACTTATGAAATAAACCAACCAAATTTTTGTTTCTACATCGGAAACTTTTAAGAACCGTAACCCTTACACTTCTTGGAAAAGTGGTATACGATATTAGTTCAAGAAATTTAGGTCAAAACTATACTCCGTAATATCCGAGATGAACTGAATGAGGTTTATTAGACTCCTTAACAATAGCGATGATATGTTTAACTGATTCACTGTTTAATTCATTGACAGTTTTATGACTAGAATTCAAAAAGAACCTTATATAAAGCAACAGTCCTTCATTAAGATAAGTCATTTGCCTAAAAACTTCATAACGACTTACTAGTCATTTCCTAGGTCTCTAGAATTCACTTACTCTTGAGCTCTGAGTGTTAAAGAAAAGATGTAAAGCAGTAAAGGGAGCTTTAATCCGAAGTTTGATAATAAACAGAAAACAACTATATTTATAGGTTAATTACGAAATTTAACCTCTGAAAACTACTTTAAGTATACTAAATTTATTAACAGAGCAGGCAGTCATCCAATCAAAATGTTACACATAATCTTTTAGTTTTCTGGAAGTTTTTATGGTATATCCTAAGTGGATGACGTATTTTCACTCTCTCTTTTTGGCCACTGAAGAGTTTATAGAGAAATTCTCATGAGATACCAACACAAACAAACATTTGTTCTTGATTACATGATCTACTAAAATGTCAGGCAGTCATATTTTCCTACCTATTAAACTTGTAAATACTGAAACATTTGATGATATCAGATGATTAGTGTTAACTGGCGATGAATAATTACTTGAGTGAAAATGTTAAGAATATGATACAGTAATTTTTATTCAAATGAACTTCAGACTTCTTATCATTCAAAAACTAAGTCATTGTTTCTATAGAAATTAATAGAAAAAAAGTAGCTCACTTGTAATATTTACTTTGCTTTCACATGATAAGTGTATTCATTAAAATTATAACAAAGTGAGACTATTCTAATTAAAATTGATATACAATTCTGTATATGTACATACATATGTATATATCTTTAAAAAAATGAAACCTAGAGCATCTTGTCGACTGCCATTAAATATCTGACAAGGGATCAAAATTTCGACAAGTATATGAATGATGCCTTTATCCAATAATTTATGTTTAATTAGAAAGCGAAAAGATAAGTTGATATATGACGTTATATTCCTGAATTTATTGATCTAGTCAAAATACAAGATGATTAAGTAATGTTAATAGTAATAGTAGCATGTACTAATATCAGAATCCTTTTAAATCAGATGTGAATATTTATTTTTTGATTATATTAACTGAAATTTTGTAGTCTGATAGATCAGTGGAGAAATAAATGATATATTGATCAGATGGTGGTTGGAGGTAGTCGAGAGGGTCGATAGCATTCGATCTGCACTAATAAGGACCAGACAAGCATGACATTGATCATCACCCAGTGATCAATCAATTGTGATTACATCTCAGTCCTACAGGAGGTCGGTCGCGGCCCCGAGATCCCAGTGGTAGCGTCTCTGTATGTGAAGCTGGGTGACACGGGATCGAATCCATCAGGGAGCATCAGTTCCTTCAAGATTACAGGTACACCTTGCTGACGAGTGCCAAGTAGCACGAAACCCGGGTCCAGAGTTTCCTGTTGACTACCTCCAACCATCATCTAATCTCATAATAGTGCCCGCAGTGTCGAGTCACTTAGACTGGTGGCCACATTGCAACATGGTCGATAGCATCCGATCTGCACTAATAAGGACTAGACAAGCACGACATTGATCACAACCCAGTGATCAATCAATTGTGATATATTAATCAATACAACTAAGTTGCATGAAATAGGTTTGTTAAAAAATTCTGTGACTTAATCCATAAAAGTTATAAATTCAAATAATTCTGTACCTTATGTTTATTTGAGATATTTACAACAGCAGGAAAACTCTTATTCTAATGAGTTTTATTTTTTCTTAAAAGTACTGATGCACTCGTGATTGAAAGTTCCGAAGTCACAGAGAGAAGAGAAAACTATTTCAACGCTAGGCAGATAAGTATAGTCACGTGTTTCAGGAATGAATTACCACAAATCCATGGTTTACAAACCAGAGAGAGAGAAAGAAAGAGAGATAAACCAGCGAATCTATCTGTAAAAAAAACGTACTTATGGGATTCATTCCTGATTCTTAATATTTGTAAGTTCAAGTAACATCCAACGGATTACGGAGCATACTCTTACACCTAAATCCTAAGTCTGTTTTGGGTATAGGTTATAATTTCTTGAGTAGCATGTTTCGTGAAAACATGTGGAAACTTGGTTAAATTGATTGTAGAGTGAATCCATACGATAATATTTACAGTGTAGAATTAAACTATACGAATAAAAATTGCTTCCTGTCTCAATTTTTATTAAGCTGTCACAAATATACATCATTGGGCAGCATTTGGATTGTAACAGTTAAACATAATTATATATTTCACAAAGACACTACTGCTTACATACATTTTTCATTAACTTAAAAATTCAGTAGAAGATACTAGAGTAGTTTACGCTGATCCGTTCATAAACATGAATTTTTCAATAGAATTATTCAAACCATATAGTAGTAGAGATTGATCAATCTCAGTCCAAAAATATCTACGAAAAATCTAAAGAACTAATATCTATGATTTAAATTTCATTTTATCATATAAGCCAATGGTTATCTGAACTCAGTAGATAAGTGTATAGCATGATGGCATTTAAAGTGAACGGTACTAGATTCAAGTTTCAAATTGAAAATCAGTTCTAAAACTCAGATACATCGCATTGACAAGTCTCGAATAAGATAAAAATCCCATCCTGAATGTATATACCAGGCATCATCCATTTCTGTTTAAAAATTAGTTGTAACTTAATGATAATATCATGACAATCCGTACAGAATGCACATTTACCTTAAAAAGATTGATCAGCTTCAATATTAAATATCAATAAGAATATCCAAATAATCAATCTATAAGAATCCTATAATAATTTGGATCAAATTGTAAATGAAAGAAATTTCTATCTATTATTGATTCCTTAAATTATATTCATTAGTAAATTTCATTTTATTTCACTTAAATAGCCATAAATAAAGTTACGTAGGTTATTTAATTTAGTCATTTAAATAAATAATTGTTAGTATAATGACATATTGATACTAGTATCAATATTATTTCATTTTTAATAACTTTTTTTATACCTTACTACTTACTTCATTGTTTCTATATGCATAATTTACTATGAATATATGTTCAAGCTTTCATTAGATTATCATTAAAATGGTGTTACAATTAAAAAAAAAAGACAATTTAATTCGCATTTGAGGGAAAATCAATAAATTAAAAATGTTTCTAAGCAAATTAAACATAAACTATTATAAACAAGAAATAATAATAATAATAAACGTCGTAGAATAATATAGATTTATTTATTTTCAGGATAGGGTTTTGTGAAGATTTTAGTAATTTAATAGTTAAATTCAGAACCGATAGATATTGAGTTCGAATCCCATAGGGAGGGATCGTGGATGCACACTACTGAGGAGTTTCATACTAGGACAAAACAACTGTCCAGTGCTTTCAGGTTTCTCATGGTGGTCTAGCTTGAATGAACTCATCAATTCAATTATTGAATTTATTTACTTATTTTGCAGGTTCTTTTCAATTGCCGAGACATTAGAAGCAACAATATTAATCATTAAAAATTAAAACAAATATATATATATATATATTTATTTTACATTAAGAGTTGTTTTGTTTAAAGCTGGATATCATATGTAGATGTACATTAATAGAAGACAATCATCGTGAAAGAATGATAGAATTATTTAATTACTTATTATATATATATATATATATATATATATATATATATATATATTATATATATATATATATATATATATATATATATATATATATATATATATTATGTAGAATAAGTATTCTAGGAAAGAATACTGTAAAGATAATGAAGATATAATATTTTTTTAGAATCAAAAGATCAATCTCATCATTTGTGAGATACTTTAGAAAAAGATTAACTGGCTAAGTTTCCTATTTCTTAGTTGAGATTCATTTAAACCCTACTTAAGAAGTAGGAAAATAATACGTTCTAAACTTCATTTTTAATTTTATTATTAAAGTGTAATAAAATATGAGAGATATCCTTGTAAGTATTAGTTCTGTTAGCATCTTGAATTTTGCGCAGCAGGCGTGAATTGAAAGTTATCAAAATAATTTATTAGACTACCACTGATTTTTAATTGAAAGTACTTAAGAATATGTTTACTAATTGATATGATTAACAGGTAGGATATGTATGTTTTTTTTTACATTATAACATCTGAAGTACTGGGATGACTGTAATAGTTGAAACAATCATCTGACCAACATCTCAATGTATTAGATTTTAAGACACAAAATCCTTTAACGAATTGATCGAATATGTTGTGGTGTTTGCTACTGATATCGACAGATATGAGTAGTATGTTCCATCAATCGAAAGTGAAGTGCCTGGAGGCAGAAGGTTAAGATAATCAAAGAAAACAGAAAGAAAACAAAGAATGGTTGGTGTGTAAACGAAAGAACAATAAAGTCTGAGACGATTGATTGATATTTTGCAAATAAAGAATTTACTATATGGTTCTGAGATTTTACTAAGACGTTCTGTAATTTTGTATTCAAATACATTCGTTTATCCCCACTTTTATTGTCGTTCATTACAATGTGACTATCCAATGGAGAAATGAACCTGTCATTAATGTACAAATATTACACTGGAAAATATGTACATATAACGCAATATGATGGTTGTTAAATTCGATACAACTTTTTATTTTCTCATTTTTTATTACAGTTCAGTTATACGAGGTGATTGAAACAGGAAGATATGTTTATTTAGTGATGGAATATGCCAAGAATGGTAAGTAAAAATGTTTCTAAATAATGCTTTATATACAGTAAATAATTTCTGTTCGATGATTAGATACAAATTGCTGGAAGACTTAAAACTTAGTTTTATGGTAGTTAGAATTTGTTGAAAAGGTATCTTTTTGATAATCAGGAATTCAAATCACTGACACTCAAACCAATATTCATAGACGATAATAAAAAGCAGTATGTACTTCAAGACTCCACCTTGGTAACTGAACACGCAAAATAACAAAGTGTTTTCGATTTAGATACTGACGTACATTGTTTGATGATGAAACCAAAATTTACGTAAGTCACGAATATTATCAATGTGATTCGATCAATAGTACTATTGTGTTCAGTTCTCCACCAATATACTGTAATAAGAAGTAATTTAGATAATCTTTAGGTGTAACGCTAATAGTAAATCTACTGCTGTAAGTTAATATTTATATTTCAACTTATTTAAGTTCCCACATGAAAACGCATATTCACACATGTAAGTTGACCTGAAAATTAAACGTGTTATTGGTGAAACGTTTCAGGTTATGAAACTTATACAATAGCACTAACGAATATAATTTGGTTAGTCGTGTATACTTGGATTGTTCATCCATATGTGTTAGTTCTATAAAAAATATTAACCAATTAACCTGTTATTCGAAAGCTTTGAAGATCCCTTTTGGGTTCTGAAACCTGGCAATATTATTTCTGAGTGAATTCCAGTGAGAACGTCTATGTGTTTAATGTTGTGTCAAGTTACTGACATATTAGATTGAATTTGATTTTATATATCATTTTCTAGAGTTTTGATTCAATCAACGTTTTTACTAAAATAACTTTGAACTATCTCCCTTCTGAATGATCTTCCGTACTGTAATTTCCCCATATTCACTTTAGTGTGTATACTGTTTAATAAATAATGTTAAGATGTTAAGATGTATGTTCTATAGTTTAATTTATTATATTACAATTCAGTGACTGAGATTCCTCAGTTTTAGTTCATTTCTAATATTACTCGATCAAAATACAATGTAGTTATTGAAATTTCATGTTCAACACTTTTAATGCTCCTTACTACAACTAACAAAAGTAGATCATTGGGAAAGGTATTTGTGAAAATTGTTGAATTTTGTAGTCTACATTACGAAATGATCTTAGTTTTATGAACACTTAAAACAAAGGATTACTTGACAGTTGTTTTATCTTAATATGAGACTCTACAACCGTTCATAATATATCGATAATTACTTGAAGTTATTAATTTAAAACACCGGATTCAGATTCACTAGTTAAGCAAGAACTGCAGGTCATTGGTCTGATCACAAATGAGGTCATGGACGACCACAGGTGAGGAGTTTTATACTAGAAAAAAACAGCTATCTAGTTTCTCCTGGTTTTCATTAGCTGCCTAACTAAGGTTAGTCCGTGATATAATCTATAGAAAAATAACACTAATATAATTTATTAGTTAATAATTGTTTTTCTGTAGTTTAATTGAAAAAATAATTCATACTATAAAAATGTGACTAGCAATAGATTACAGGGTGAGCGTTTCGTTCTTTTAGTACCTGGATCCCTGAGTTGATGTTTACTACAGAACTCGAATCAACTGCTGGGCACATCTTATCTTTTCTATAAAAACTTATGTCATAATGTTTATATTGAGGTAATCCGAACAGGATGCATTTATGCCAACTAAGACTAATCGAAATTCAGTTCTGATTATCAACACCAAGGTAACACAAACTTTTACAAATCAAGTTAAAATTCATACCCATAGAACAAGCCAGCGGTTATCTGAACTGAGTAGTTAAGTGGGCAATACTTTAGGCGTTTGAAGCGGAAGATATTGCGTTTGAGCCTCAATACGAACATCAACGCTGAGATCCAGTGACATCCAGATGACGAGTTTGAAATCGGACTAAACACTGGTCGTAAATTCCACTTCTAGCCACATGCAATCTATTCTTTTAAAAATTCAGACAACTATATTTGGGTTTCAATAAATAGTACCAACCAAAACGATTCATCAATCTTTCTTAATTGATACAGTATAATTACATTACTTTCACGAAGACAGTTCATACTATATAAAATATATTTTTTGATATTTTTTTTATGTTTAAGGTGAAATGTTTGAATATCTTTTGAAGTATAATAGAATGAATGAATCTGATGCACGTGGAAAATTTCGTCAAATACTTTCTGCTGTACAATACTGTCATCGGAAAAATATTGTTCATCGAGATTTAAAAGTATGTTTAAGTAATTATACTGTTTAGTTAAATAAACAATAACCAAGTACAGTGGTATTAATGCCAAGTTTGAACTTGATAGTTTTCAATAAACTGATCACTGAGTAAAATATCAATCATAAATACATTTTTTTTGTTACATCCTAATGAGTTATGATTTTGATTGTACTGAAAATATTCTTCATTATTTCCTTTGTACTATTTAAACTTGTGTTAATTTAATTCGGTTATTTATTTACTCTAAAGAAGTTCCTTACATTTAGTCACGAAACACCAGAAATACAATTTTTCTACTCATTTGGGATATAACAAATAATGTATTTATTGTTAACCTAGTATAGAGTACACAAAAGATTCTTAAATGTTGAAAATATTTACTAATTACTGTTACGTAACTTTGTCTTGGTGAAAGGTTTATGTATGTGAATGGTATGAATAAACAAGGTTATTGCGTAATAATATTATGAATATTCTCTAAAACGAGAATTTTTCGGATTATAAAGTTGCTAGATTTATTATGCGTACTCCTCAACTAATATTTATTTATCTATTAGAAAACTGATGTATAAAAACCCCATAACTCAAACATTATGAACTCCTGTTTAAAGTAAAATCTAAAAGATTAGCAAGTACAATTTATTAACAGTTTATAAAGTAAGGTCATGTAAATGTAAATAAAATCACATTGGTCAATTGACAACCATCAACTTTGTTACCATCTGTTTAGAATTTCATTATGAATGTCAGGTTTGCCGAAAGAAAATCTGGATTAAGAATAGGTATTTCCGGGAATTTGGTTTATTTACCATATTCTATTTCTTGCATGTTCTCACATAAGATATATAAAACAATTTAGTGTTTTAAGTATTCATTATAGTCAGATTCTACAGATTTTTTCATTAAGAAATATGCTATTCTCCACTGTGTTTTGAACTTCACAAAATATCTGATAAGCACTACTTTAAATCTCACAAAATTCTCTGAAGATCGTCAATACAGTGTAGTTTTATCAGTCAAGTTTCTAGATCATAATAATCATGTGATAAATTCACTATATGTCACTTCCCTCTGCTGATTTGAAACTCTAGTAGATAAATCTTCCCATAACATTCATATCTAAACTAACCATTTTGAAATATTCTATCTATATTTCTATTAATCTAAATTTATCATTTCAATTTAGGCAGAAAATCTTTTACTCGATCATCAGAATAATATTAAATTAGCTGATTTCGGTTTTGCCAATCATTTTAATGCAACATCATTATTGGATACATTTTGTGGAAGTCCACCTTATGCTGCACCAGAATTATTAAATGGTGAGAAATATATCGGTCCAGAAGTTGATGTATGGGCATTAGGTGTTATATTATATTTATTTATAAGTGGTTCATTACCATTTGAAGCATCGAATTTAAAAGTAAGAATTTTGATTGTTATTTCTTTTAATGGTTTCCTCTGTATGTGTAAAATAGATATGTTGCTATGTCTTTACATTGACCACTATCTAACTGAATAGCTAAGGTCAATGCTGTATGTGGACAAACAGCACATTCGTGAACAAATTTAGATCTTCATGATTCTTTACTCTGATATACATCAATTTTTCATATGCATGATAATCACTTAAATAATAATTTTAACACTGGAAGTAGATCAGAATTCGCGTAAACTTAAAGTAAACATTAATGAAAACCTAATTGAGAACAATATTTTTCGTTTATAAATGTTGTTCTAATTTACATAAGGGGAGTTTTCGATATGCTAGTGAACTAAACAACTTACTGATAAAACCATCGGTTGACGCTAAAGGTTCCACAACTAGTCATTTTCATATAATTCATTTAATATGTGTCTAACTAATATTTAAGTTTCAATAGTTGAGAACATGAGTCAATTGAAGCTAGACCACCATGGAAAACCTGGCATCTAAATATGTTAGTTAAATTAATGTAATATCTCAACAGCCAAGTACAACTACCCTACAGTGAACAAGCTGTTATTAGTGTTAAACATGATTAAATTGTTTTTCAAAAATGGTTGAAAAGTAATTTACGGCTTTTCAAATACAATCACGAATGTAATTCGGTGATTGAAATATTTTCTGGCTCATAAATCCTTTCAGTGCAACTATACTCTAGCGATAACCCCAATTTAACGTAAAATTAATTTGTAAAATTATTACCAGTTATGAGGCGATCAAAATTCACGTCACATAATTCAGTTACAGAAAACGAAAAAAAAATGTTAAAGAATTAAATGTAATTTATTATATCGGTCAAATCGTTATGCACAGAGGTCGTTGAGAGACCCTTCAAACACCTATGACTATGCTTTCAATCATATAAAGTATGCTTAATATTTAAATACTGTTTCAGGTACAGTTTTCTTCGGGAGCATATATTTCTTGTAACTTAACTTTTATATCATATTACATTCACCGTACGATTGCATAACAGATAATTTATCAATTTTAATCTTTATAACAACTAAATATGGATAGGTTTTACTTAGCTCTTTATATGGTCAAATTCAGATGTTATTGGATGTTTAGATATTGATTGGTTTGTCGCTAACATATAACTTGCCCCCAAATTGGTATTTATCTATAGGCCTAAAAACACAACATTGAATTGAGTATTATTATACAAAAATCAATTTGTGTGCTAAACTTACAAACAATTATTCTCTTTTATAAATATGATTTTCATTCTACAATTTGAATACAAGAAATTATTTTATTTCTTCTCAGGAATTACACAGACGTATTACTCAATGTGATTATCGTATTCCATATTTCATGTCTACTAAATGTGAATTAATTATTAAACGTATGCTAGAAATTGATCCTATAAAACGAAGTTGTTTAGAGGTAATGTAGTAAGTTCTATTTTCTTCTTCTTCTACAGATGCTAGACAATTAAATGATAATTCTGATGTTATCTGTAACAGAATGATCTGTAAATAATTAATTTATTATTGAATAGTGTAATAAACCGACAAAGATTATCAGAACTATATCATATATTAGCGTAATACATTTTGAACAATCTGCTCATATATAGTATACGTGTTAAAAACACTTATATCTAAAAATAAAATATCAACTAGACAACACATACATTTAACACTATGAGGTTGTGGAGATTATTATGTATTTGATTGAGATCATGAACTGATTGATGTTAGACCACCATAGAAAACTTAAAAGCACTAGACGGCGGTTTCATCCTGTTGTAGAACTCCTTAGAAATGTGTATCCACGATGCCGCTCGAGGGACTCGAACCCAGAACCTTCAGTCTCGTGCCGAACGCCTAACTGCTAGACCACTAATCCGGTATCCAATAGGACGGAACAGCCGTCCAGTGCTTCAAAGTTTTCAATGGTGGTCTAACATCAATCAGTTCATGATCCCAATCAAATACATAATAATCTCCACAACCTCATACTGTGAAATATATGTGTTGTCTAGTTAATATTTTATTTTTAGATATATGTTTTTAACAAGTATACTATGTATGAGCAGATTGTTCTAAATGTATCACGTTAATATATCACATAGGTCTAATAACCTTTGTCGGCTTATCATATCATCCAAATTTAGCAAAGGAACTTTCCATTTCAAAATCATAAATATTAAAAGAACTAATATAAATGAATAGATGACTAATTATTAATAGAGAACAATATTTGTTTGATTTTTTTTACAAATTATAAATGGTATTTAACTTTGGCTTTGTTCCAACATGTATATTTGTCTAGTCATGATAATAAAGTTAAATCGGTAGTTTTGTTTTGTCTTCTCTATCAATCAGACCTTCTATAAAATTATGATTTCTAATGATTATTATACTTTAATTAATTAGAACCAGTTTAAAGAAATACTTATAATGTACCTGTTTAATTCGATAAACTACTGAGATTTCTTTAATTGATAACACTTTTTTTTACCAATGATACAGATTTCATTCAAATTTAGCTGACATATGATACTTAAGAACTCCATTTGAAGATCTTCTAAAGTTACTACACGTCCCAAGCCCGGATAAAGGAGGAGGGTCGAGCATGGGATTAGTAACTTTAACCCGTAAAGAAAACCTTGGTGAAATAGATGCTAAAAACTTCGTATTCAAGATTAAGAATAGAATTTTGTTGAAATGTGATTTGAAATTTCATTGTAGTTCATATCTCCAATTTCCTACTAGGGAATTTTAGTATTTTACATATCCTTGTAATCTTGACTGAAATTTATCGATCGATGATGATTCATCAGATAAAATACCTTGTGAGCTATTTTAGTGAACGCTTTCGGTAACTGATTATCACTCAAAAGGATTAGAAACTTGACCAGATAAATTGAGGACAGAAAACAAGAAGATATGAACGTTTTACCTCTTTTTAATTGTGATACTTTTGATATGGTACTATAAATAGATCCTGAGGAGACATAATTCAACTAGCCGACATAGACAACGTTGGTTTGCGTGCACAGAACCTGGCTTTAAGAATGAGATTCAGGACAGACAAAATTGATAATTTATGTAAAAGTGATTGTTATCTAGATAATAAAGCTTCATCATTGATAATATTATATTCAACCTATTGATTTGGTTCCACAAAATGTCATTATACGTTTCTGTAGTACTTTTGTATAAAACAAGGGAAATTCAACGTTTAAGATGGTTTTCAACAGAAACTTGTTCAAATTTAAAGTTAAACACGAAAAGTTCTTCATGGATTTTGAGACTAATTAAATATCCTTAAGTACAATCACTTAACATAATCTGTTTCCCGTGTGTTTTATGGAAACAGTACTGATAAAAGCAGACTTCATCTAACCTTTATATGTTTGTTAAAACATCGATGTAATTGTGTGATCATGATTTACACTTATCAGACCAAATATTGATGTAAACAATGTGAGTCACTTATTTAGTACAAACCATAAGATAGTTACGTTTTATATTTCAAAAATATTCATCCAGTGACCTACACAAGATCATTTAAATGACAAACAGCTGACCAGATGTAATATCATGTATTCCAGTCAATGGTAAACATTCGATTAAATACAATATTAGGACAATATTGTTTTGCAATTACTTTCAACTATCCGATAACGGATGGCTCCCAAATGCCCTGGCACGGTTGAAGGTGGGGAGAGTTAGCTCTCCCTCTCGAAATGCTTTCACATAGCCACGCGTATACAGTCACTGCCAGGGAAATTCTACTCACTTCCCTCTTAAAGCATTACTGTTGTTCACGTAATTGAGAGGATGGAAAGCGAATATCCGGCGCTTTAATCCGGCTGGTGGACACGGAGGGTCCACCTACAGAGGTTGGAAAACCCTGATCCCAAACCAATGATGCACGTGGGCTCCAGGGTTCCGAGGTAACAAATGACATATGAACCTAATGTTGGTCACCGGCTACCATAAGACTGCATCGGTCTGGGCACCCGCTCAGTATTCCAGCCCCCAAACATATCTAATGATTTGTGTGGCGCATATGTATTTGGTACCTTCTTGTACCAATTTTTATGTGTCTAAATAAATAATAATAACTATAATGATAAATGTACCTTTTAGTCGTCATTCCATAAATTTAATGTGTTATTCGGTTGGAAGAATTTTTTAGAAACGTATAATCAAACTACTTGACTGTTGATTTTTGCATATAACCCACTATTTTATTAGTAGATAATGTTTATCTGGACTTAACAGCTTAACGCATGACACTTTGGTGTTTAAAGCCGTAAAAACCGTGCTCATATCATAACGTAAGCATCAATACTATGATGTAGGTACATTTAGATAACATGTCTTAAACAGGAATGAAAATGTGTCTTTAATTCCTTTGCTAACTACAACCAATCTTTGCTGAAACCATAACAAGATAATACCTTTCTTTAACTCCCGGCATGGATAAAAATAACAATAAAAATGCTTTTTTTATTATATTTTCCAAAATATAGGAATTAATGGAAGATCCATGGATTAATATTGGGTATGAACACGATCCATTAAAACCGTATGTTGAACCTCGAGAAAATTATAACGATCCAGTCCGTATTGGTAAGTCGAATATTAACCAATAAATAATGTTAGTGAAAATAAACTGATTAAGTGAATTTATAAACTCATACATATTTTCATGAACTTTATTTGTTCGTTATTCAAATTTCAAGAATTTCTCAATGTACAGCTTAGAATATTAAATATAAAGGTTAAATAAGTTTAGGATTGTAGACAGATAATTATCATGTGTTCACTAGTGACTAACTTCAAGAGGAAATTTCTCATGTTCTATTGAGAAATTCAACCGTATCACGTTTAAGGAAGGTAGCATTTATCGAGAAACCTAAAGGTCCTGGATTTGATCGTTGATGGGATTGTAGATATTCACTGTTTGGGTGTGCCATACTTAGTTATAACAACTATCTAGTGCTTCTTAGTTTTTATTAGTTATCTAACTTATGGTTGGTTCATGATATTAATAACATTCAACAATCTCTACAATCCTCTAAATATGACTTATAATATCTAAGATTTATTATGTCTGAGAATAAATTTTTTTTAATGATGCATAACAAATACATCACATGACTGAATAATGTAAATATTTCTTTTCTATTTTAATCCAATATTATGCCTGGTAATATAAAATGATATTATTACATAATTAATGAGTTATGCTTTACTTCTCTGATAATTTAAAAACTGAATTAATTTGTTGATTACTACAACTTGGATTTTAGTAAGAGCTAATATCATTTACAAGACTATTGAAAATTTTGGGAATGCTGAATAGCTGCCATATTACCCTGGTTATAAATTGTCATTATTGTATATCCACTATTCGAAACCAGAGTTTATGGATTGTAGAAGAGATGATACTGTAACGGTAAATAAATCCCAAAATCAATAGCTCTGTAAGTCTTTGAAATTTGGTGTTGACCGCATTAGTTTTAACAGACCCATCTAGCTGAAGGCGGTCGGTCATACATTCTCAACAGATCGTGAGTTGGTACGTCATGTTACACATCTCCTACAACCGCTAACCAGCTTAGATCGCTCATTTCTCAATATATCGATATTCTATCAGATATATATTCGAACTCTTTCGCTTTTGAATTCTGATTAACTGGGTTGACACATTTCAATTATAAAAGATTTTACTACAGGAGGTCGGTCACGACCTGGAGAGCCCAGTGGTAATGTCTCTGACTTTGAAGCTGGGTGACACAGGAACAAATCTATCAGGTAGCACCAGTTCCCTCAAGATTACAGGTATACCTTGCTGACGAGTGCTAAAGAGCACAAAACCCGGGTTCAGGGTTTCCTGTCGACTACCTCCAACCACCATTCTAAAGATGTTACTATTAAGGTGTTGTTAAACTTCGAATACTTATGGCATCTTTAGTACCATTTAAACTACTGTGACAAATTTGATTTTTCACATTTCATTCTAGTTTTTAAAAGTAAATATATCAATAGGTTTGAGTAGGTTTGTAGTAAGCCCATTTAACTACTGTATTATTTATCTGCTCACTGTAATTTAGGCACTTAATCCATTATGTAAATTGCTATGTGAGTATGACTGAGCACATGACAACTTTTAATCTATTCTCCTATTGGTTGTAATACACAGACAATCTATAATTTATCCATACTTGATTAACACTCAAATATATATATATATATATATATATATATATATATATGTACGATTGCGGATTTTACCAATCTTTAACAATAAACTATCTCTATAACTGGTATTCAGGCTTTTGAATAATCTCGAGTAAATCCATAATTTTACTTGGAGATTTAGCCTGCATTAAATATTCAATTAACGGGATACTATTTATTGGAGTCAGATATAGGAGAAATTAGCCTCTACAGATTTCTTGTAATGTGTAAGATTGAATGATTAGATTTTATAAATAGATAACAACTATTTATTGTCATTAACTTTATGGTATCTATAAGGTAAAAATATTTTCAACAAACATCGACATCTTGAACTAAATACCACACATGTAGATTTATAATTAACAACTTTATAGTGTATAAATGTAAGCTCTTCTATTCTTTAACCTACATTCAATTCTTAACATAGATTATACATTTATCATTTAATTTTGTTTACAATTCTTAAATGATGATATAAGTACTTTATATTTCAAAGAACAAAGTTGTTTTGTTTTCCATACACTTGTATTTTCAATAATTGAATACCTTTTCTTTCTATATAAATAGACGTTTCAACATAACATAATATAAAAATTCAAGTACTTATCGATGTCAAAGAATTGAAGCATTTCATAATTGTAAGAATAATCCATTTCAAGTATTTGATATAGTACCAATAGTTGAATAAATATATATTGGAACGAGTAAATTCTTTTCATGTGTATATTATTAGTATCCTCATCTAATAAACAATATTTTAATAGAAACTTAATAATAGAAGTACATTGTAATCACTTTAAATAAATGTAGTTAAATAAATTCAAGTAATGTAAATTATCCCTTTACATATTATTTATATTGTTTGAAGATCATATAATATGGTAATAATAGTTCTTACTAAACAATTAATATTGAAATATGATTGTTGTTATGGTTTAACTAGTTCTATCATTTCTGAACATTTCTAAGAGTTAATTAACTTCGTACGTACGCACGAAGTTCCACGTTGTTTCTGACTGACTGACTGAATTAACATAAAAAGATGAAATTGAAATGAAATAAGAATAAATCACAATTTATATTACTAAGTGAATAGACTGATCTAAACAAGAATATATGAGTAATGATCTTGATTAAATGAATTATAAACTTACTCGATATGGGGTCCTTATATTTATACTTGATTTATTATGTACCATTATGATATTGTTTATTATGTCTTTTAGTATAAATCATGAACTTGATTTAATTAGATCATTATTTAAAATCCAGAAGTACCGTACAGGTGTTTAATTCTAGTGCGGGACTCCTCATAAGTGAGCATCCACAACCCTATAGTAGGCTATAGAATCTTAGACCTTTGATCTCACATGCGAACATTTAGACTCTAGATCACTTAGCCAATATCCAATGGTTTGCATAATTAATTTCAAATTATTCCCGTCAGTTCCCTATCATCTTTCATCGTCTGTTCTGGATGACTGTCTCAAATCTAACACGGTTGTACACCACTAGTCGTGACTTTTCATAAAACCTCCAGTAGTTCAATATTGGAAAGAAGTAGTTGTCCACTCCTTTCTGCTTTTCAATAGTGGTCTAGCTAAGATTATTTCCTAATTAAAACAATGGAAATCCTACGATCTTTACAAACCTCTCTTTACTAATGTTGTATTAGACTTTATTCGATATGTCTGTAGTCTATGGTCTATATACGTCTATTCAAAGGGTCTATGCTCAACAATTGGTGAATAACTTAGTTTACTAAATAAGTAAATAGAAATTGTTAACATTACTCAAAATTTATGTCCACCATACAAGACGATGTTCTAACTGCCCAATAATCTAGTGAATAAATTATTTTTTGCTTACATTAATTAGCCCTGTGTCTTGGCTCTCACTTACTAAAAAACCAAAAGAAAAGAGCCTTAAATAAGAAAAAATCTGATTAAAACAATAACTAAAAGATAAAGTATACGTTTATGCAAAAATTAACGATTAGACGGATTATGAATAATTATACCTCGTACGAAGATCAGATTAAATATGTAGATTAGTTGAGGTTTAACAGTTCTAATGTAAACTTGTCAAGAGATATTGAAAATCTTTCAATCATAATCAAATTATTTTCTAAATGATTATGGAACCATGTGTTTCACATGTTACTTACTTACTTACTCCTGTTAATCCTAATGGAGGATAGACCACCGACCGAAATTCTCCAACTCACTCTGTCCTGGGCCTTCCTTTCCAGTTCTATCCAATTTTATTTATTTTTTTCATGTCTGTCTCCATTTCTCGACGTAATGTGCTCTTTGGTCTTCCTCTCCTCCTTTGGCCTTCGGGATCCCAAGTAGGGACTTGCCTGGTGACGCAGTTCGGTGCTTCCCTCAATGTGTGTCCTATCCAATTCCAGCGCTTCTTTCTGATTTCTACCTACACTGGGATCCGGTTTCTTCTCTCCCACAGTAGGTTGTTGCTGATAGTGTATGGCCAACGGATCCGAAGTATTTTACGTAGACAACTGTTAATAAACATTTGTATCTTCTGGATGATGGCTTTCGTAATTATCCAAGTTTCTGTTTCACACAGTGGAACTGTCTTGACATTTGTATTGAAAATTCCGACTTTGGTGTTGGTTGACAGAGAGTTGTTTTGAGTTCCATATGTTCTTCCATTGTAGATATGCTGCTCTTGCTTTGCCGGCCAGCGCCTTCACATGTTGGTGAATCAAAATGTGTTTGATTGGAACAAAATATACCTTAGAAAATGGTGGTCGTATACACTGGTTTACTGTTTAATTTTTTACACATGACAGAAACCCATAAAGTAAATAACAACTCAATTAATGTTTCTCAAAATAAAAGATTGTTTTCCACGTAACTTGTGGATTTTTAATACTGAACCCAGCAAATGTCTTCTAAACCCTCGTTTAATACTTGATAGTATGTTAAGAACTAATTGAAAGTTTGGTTTATCGGGTTGGAATATATCTAGCTTCTGGATTGGCAATAAACATAATTTATGGTAATATTCAACTCTTCAAGGCTGCGTAATTTTTTAAAATTTTCATTTTGTCTATCAATGTGACTCATTAAGTAGTATAATAACTTACACAAAATTCATCTTGTATTGGTTGCTTGGATCGTCTAAATGATGTTTAGATCTGTAATTGATCAATCTCTTCTTACTAAACGTGAACAAAATATTTCAGATTTGCTTTGTTGTTATCTGGAAAGACTTCAAATCAAAAGGGAGATTCTTCCAATAATTTTTAATATTATCTTCATATCTCATTGCAGAAACATACATTTAACCTGTCCGATAATTTATTAACACTCTTTAGACCTGACTTTTTTACAGTTATTTAATTGAATTTATCCATATTACTAATCTACCACTTTAGTTGATGTACAAGCTTATTCCAGTTAAAATAATACAATATTCATTTTGACATTAACCATTTTGTGATCAGAATGGGTTTGTGGAGATGGTAATAATTTTAATAGTTGAACTCATGAGTCGATGTAAGCTAGAACACCATTGATGACCTGGAATCACTGGACGGCCATTTCGTCCTACCATGGAACCCCTCAACATTGCTCATCCACGATCCCGCATGTGGGACTTGAACGCAGAACTTTCGGTTTCGAACGCGAATACAGCCTCTAGACCACTGAGCTGGATTCAAGACGGGTTTCCTGGGATTCTAGTAAGAACCTATGACCAGCGGAGTCCTATCTGTGTCGGGTAGAGTCAGGTATCTACCTTAGACAACGGATGAATGGTTGCGCAACCATTCATGGATCGACTAAAGTTAGACATCAATACCGTTGGATGCCGGCGCAACGGTCTACAGGTTAAGTGTTCACGTGCGGAACAGAAGATTCTGGGTTCGAGTCCCACATGCGGGATCATGGATGTGCACAGTTGAGAAGTCCCATGGTAGAACTAAATGGCCGTCCAGTGCTTCCAGTTTTTCAATGGTGTTTTAGTTTACATCGACTCATGAATTTAACTACTGAAATTAACAATATTATCTTACTAAAAGATGTAATCATCTTAAATTCAGCTGTTTATTTAAATCATTAATTTGAACTTAACTCTGTAAAATATGATGACTTGTTGTTGAAAAGAATATTTTTCATGTACATATCTTTGTTATAAGAAAATGTGAAAGTTTAAACTATTTTATTTTATATTTTTACTTAGTCATAACTTTTACACAAATCTCTTTCCATTTCTATTTTAGCCCTTATGAATAAACTTGGATTTAGTAATGAAGATCTACGTGAAACGTTTGAAAAACACCTATTTAATAATATCAGAGCAACATATCTCTTGCTGGCCGATAGTGAAACACAGCAGAGAATCGGGAAGCAGCTGATATCCGTTGGGAATATGTTATCCAGTAGTAATTTAAATTTAGATATTGAGGGGAAACGCCGTCATAAATCTGTTGAAAGGAGTGAGTAAATACCAATGTTTAAGGGATTATAGTTTATTTCTGAGGTATTTTCGCCTACTGATATTCGGTAACGTACATGTTAACTGTAACTATCTCAATCGTCAGTTTTCTCAGAGTTACATTTAGCTAATTGTTTTACTTCCAAGTAGAGTTATTATTTAGTTTTATTGTCCTTTTTTTTCTGACTAAAAAATTTCCAGATAAGCGATAAACTTTATAAATTAAACGGTTGCTAGGAAATTTACGCATGACTAATTAATCAACTCTTCGAATTTGTATGCTTCTTAAGATAATCAATAATTAATAAAACCTTTAACCGTATGAAGTAATTTATCAACTTAACATGAAAGTACCCTTGAACAAAATATCTTAATATTGGCTTTTAGTTACAAGTTCTTAATATATTTGAATTATCACATGCAGTTTGAAGAGTATCACTGATCTTTTATTTCTGTTGTACCTTGGAGTACCTTAGACTTAGGTTTGACTCTGATTGAAAACCATATGTATACATTGATGAGAAATCTTGAACCACTGACGTGAATGTTCAGTTCTTCTTGGTTTTTAATAGTTCAGTAATTGACTCCAACTCGTGATGAACATTCATATGCAAAATTTTACAATCTATTCTAGTTTTTATTCATCGAATTTGTCATTGAGTGTTCTTATAAATCATACAAATACACAGAAGATATATTTTTGCATACAGTGACAGGTAATATTTGCTAACTCTTCGTTTAATGATTAGATTAGCAGTTGTAGAAATCATTATGTAATGAAAATTTAGAGAAGAAATGAAGATAATTCATATGCAATTATATTAAAACAAAACCATTAAGATAGGTTTGGTTTTTCAATAAACAATCTCTGAACTCACAGTGCTTCTTAAGCAATGTAAGACTGAGTTATATGGATTTCTATTTACACAAATGGATTCTTCCGTCCTACTCCGAAATAATCACACGTACCTATTAACTGATGAATAAAGTGAGATAATGGCACCATTTTTCATATAATCCAAAGGTTTACAGTAGTATTTGTGTCCTGGTTTCTTCAGTATATTTCGTTTAGAATAAATAATATATTTCCATCCAATTGCTTTTTATTAAGAATGTCAACGAAACAATCACTAGTATATAGATGTGTAATATATACATCTTTATTTAACATGAAGGGATTTGTGATCACAGAATTTTCATGGTTTAAATCACGAACCATTAATAGAAATCTAGAAGCATTGGATGATTATATCGTACCAGTATGAGACTCCTCAGTAGTGCACATCCATGACCTCTGATTTGGGACCAATTAGTGAAAAGATCGTAGTCTTTAAAATACTTTCTTTTAGCTAGCTAATCTTTTGCAGATTTCTGCAAGAATTTATTGCTGTATTCGACTGTTTTCCTGTTATAATAACTTTGTTTGATTGTCACATATCTATTCGATACTCTGAAGACAAATTATTATCCAAAATCACTGTGAATTGATCAAGAGAAAAAAAAATTGAAATCCAGTAAGCCATTTTAGTTATTTGCTAGTGTAGTTGTTGTGTAACAATCAACGTACAGCATAGCGTAAATGTGTGTTAGTTCAAGTTGAAATATCCCATTACCGCTGTGATATGAAATTAACAAGATACATAGCAAGAAAATTATCAAAAATATTAAACATTCAGGGTATGGTGCAAAAATACGGAATAAAAAGGTATCTATGAAGAAATGCTGAAACTAAATATTTCCAAATAAATAGTGAATGGATTTGGGCCACTGTGATTGACTGCAAGCTAAGTACGACCACTGTTCACAGTTATTACGTGAACCCAAACCAGGTAATCTGTATCACTCAAATACAAGTGTTGTGCTAACTGAACGAAATAACTCCATTCACACATTTCTTAATCATAGACTTGAATATGTAGTAGTTGCACCATAAGATATTTTACGTCTCAAAATGAATTCGGTTGAAAACCACTTAAGGTCAACAATTACTTGACATTTATTTGTTTTTAATATAAGACAGTAGAAGTATGTAATCTAAGTGGAAATGAACATAGGATTTTGAGATTTCGTTTAAATCAAAGACGTTAACCAATCATACTCATTGGTCACTGGTTTACTCTTACTAAAGGAATCTGGATGTGTAATCAATAAAACTTGTCGAAGTAAATCAAGCAATGTATTAGAAACATCTGATATTTTGAGGTCAATATTTAGCTGATGCTATCTCCTAATATACTTCATTCTCACAACTATCCGGCCTATATATTTATTCCCTCAAATTAAAGTGATTATTTCGTTTGTATGACATTACGAAAACTGACTAGTTTATGTACCATTTTTAGTAGGGGGGTTCATTATCTCGTTGTTGACAGCCAGGACTGAACAATAATGATAAATACACCATACCTATTTAATAAGTTAGTGTTTTCATGGACTCAGTAGATAAGTGAATAACATCTTGGGATTTGAACTGAAAGATATTAGGTTTGAGACCCTGATGTGGACATCAACACTGTGATCCAGATACATCGAGCTGATGAGGTCTCAAAAAAAAGCAAAAAACGTCTCCAGAATTCCATTACTATCCACAGTCTTAATGTTCTTAAGTGTTTATTCTTAACACAGAATGTCCTGGGTTAACAGCCCCAGTGGACGATGTGAAATACTGAGGAGTCCCATACTAGACCGAAATATCTGTCCAGTTCTTCCATATTTTCAATGGCTGTCTAACTTTAATCAGCTCATGATCTCAGTAAAATTTTACAATCTCAAAAACCCCCATACTTGTGATGATTAAAGTTTGTTATCATGTAATATTTTTGGATTTCCCTTTGGATTTCAGAATTGAGCATAAAAGACGAACCGAAATCGGAACCAATTCAACGTTATACAACTCCAGTGATTATTTCTACTTCTCGTGATGAACAGTGAGTTAGTTGGCCACAAATAATGTTTGGTTTTCTATTTTGATTAATCAATTATTATAATTTGAAAATCCTCATAGAATATTTAGAGATAAAGGATATTAAAGTGAATTAAGGTATTGTAATGAATTCATCATCATACTCTATAGTTATATGTCTATCGTTATTGTATAATAATGGTCAGAAGAAGGCATACATACGTAAATCAATAAGATAGTGTTATATGTTGAATTAGTGCACTTTGCTTCGGTCACAGCTTGAATATGTCGAAATTATGTGATTTTTAAATTAGAATAATCAATTAAGAAGGAAGTAGACCATATTTTCGATACTGAAATATAACAAATATGAACTTATAATTATAAAGCCTGATAATCAATTTTTAGTCAGTATTTAGAGACTAAAATGTTTTGTTTATTTCTTCTCTTTAATAATTATTCTATATTATATAGTAAACCAATTGTTGCAAATAACCAAATGGATTTAATCATTACATCTGATCCAGATTTATATAAAACTATAGAGAAAACAATGAAATGTTTTGATTCACAAGATATTTCTTGTTCTAGTACAACAACAACAACGAACAATCCAACTAATATTCTATCGAATGATTGCAAACCTTCATGTAATATGCATCGTGTACGTGCTAAATCATTGAACAATAATGCTGAAATAAATGACTCCAATGAGAAAGTGGTTATTTATAATTTGGAGAATGATGAAGATCAGTTAAAGAATGGTCAGGTTGTAAATAATGCCAAGTAAGAAGTTATATTTGAACTGATAAATCTTCAAATCGAACGTTAGCTTCGGTTCCTAAGCTCTTCTAGTAACTTCCAGGCTAAATCTACACAGTAACTAGAATACGAAACGAAAAGCGCGAAATATGGAAGAAACGCTTTACTCTAAGGTTCGTTTATGTACAGAAAATCTGGGACATTTATAGCATTCCAGATGGCCTTGGGTTTCCGAAAAATTCTGGAACGCCACCTAGCATAGTAGCAGTGTGAGTAATCATCTAATTAGAAACGCAACATGTGACTTTAAACTTTGTAGGTGTTTCTGGAAAACTTCTATTAAATGCTGATTGGATAAGATGTTTTTCGGCGTTTTCAGAGACTTTTTGGCTTTTTTCAAATAGTTTTCTGGATCTTACTAACATGAGCATACTAAATTGATCATTGAGTAATAATCGATTTATTTAATTCTTAGGGCTAACAAGGTTCTATTAATTTACTTGTTAGATAAAGTAAAGAGAATTCACTTTGTGATTAAGCTGTCAAATTCTGACAGCTTCAACCCCCAATCTGCTTAGTTTGCTTTAGGGAATCTTATAGCGTTATAAGCCCTTACATAAAAACAGTGTGAGTCACGGCTCAGCACATACTCTTGCATTTAATAAATGAGTTAAATTATATTAGGATGAACTATATTTGTTATTGAAGCCTCAGTAGACTGGCTATAAAATCTGAGGTAGTAACAGTAGATGATGTAGATACGAATCGTATATAGAGGAATAGTTCTCTTAAGATTATAGATAAGATCTACCGATGATTCCTAGCTTGTACGAGACCTAGATTCAAGACATCAGTTATCTAACAAAAAATCTATTTCAGTATATTTGTCCTTAGTTTACACTTTTACTAAAAACCGACAAAATTTGTAATCATGTGAGTAATATTGTGATTGGTGATTAGGGATTATAATTTCTTATGTAAGAGACTCGGATGTAAATTGAATTCGAGTTTTTCTTTAATCACAAAGTTTTTGTCGACATACCGTAATGTACAGTGATTTAGTAAGTAGAGATCTTTTAACTTAATGATAGTCTTCGACACTGGCTCCAGTCAAGCACGACAGATGAATCGACAGCTCTATTTACTTAAGTTACAATTCTAAAACTTTAAACTGAATCTGTGGTTGAATTTCATTTTGCCTGTCTAAAAATCTGAGACTCATAAACACCACATGAAACTGTCTTTTCAATTTCAGAAGAGAGAAAGAAGAAATATTCATAATTTGTTTGATTTACACACCTCCAGTCATTATAAACATACTAAATAAATTATTCATGATAATTTTTCAGAATATTTTAAAAGCATTTTATTTCACCTTGTTACTTTTTCAAATATAGAAGTATAAATTCATACAAACAAAATCATTTAAAACGTCATTTCATCATTGATAGAGCACAAACAGCTGTTCCTATTTCATTAGAATCACGTTTAAAACAAAATGTGATTATTATTACTGATAAAACATCCAGTTGGGATAATTTACCATATGATCATAGTGGTAGAGCAACAGTACCAATTGTAACATATCAACATGAAAATCAATATTTTCATGATGGTAATTCATTCCAAAATCAACATTCAGGTAATAATAATAATAATTATTATTATTATTATAAAAACGGAATATCAAATCATCATAATCTAAATTATACACACTGTTCAAATACAAAATATCAAAGAAATAGTAATGTAACAATTCAATCTATATGTACTAATTCAGAACATAAATCTCAAAAAGAACAATTAGAAAATATAATATCTAATAATGATAAATATGAAATTAATGAAGAAAATGATTTTAAAATAGTTGTTTTTCAAAAAGAAAGAAAACATGATCTTTATCGATCACCATTACCTAATAGTTCATCACCGAATAATAAATTACCTATCAAAGTAAACATAATAAATCATGTAAATAATTCAAATAATATTAAACTAGACAATTATAATAAGAACCAATCAAATGATAATCAACAATATAAAATTATTAATTTAACCAATAAAAATACAATTTCACTTAAACGAAATCAACCAATTAAATTGTACGAAAATAATAAATTTTCTCAAATCAAACAAAATGGTTATAATAATGATGAGAATAATAATAATTTGAAAGGACCACAAATGAATATAAATCATTTGAGTAAAAACAATAGTTTTGGTAAAAAGGAATCAGAAATATTTATTACAAAAAAAGATAATATATCAGAACGAAAATTTCCTCAAAATAAAGAAGTAATGTATAATGGAAATTTGTACAAAGAGTAAGTTATATTTGAAGTATAAAATAACTTCAATAGTTGAAATCATGAATCAATCAATTGAAGCTAGACAATCATGGAAAACTTGAAAGCATTGAACGGCCATTTTGTCTTATTATGAGAATCCTCAGCAGTGCATATCGAGGATCCCACCTTGAGGGATTCGAAACCAGGATGTATAGGTTTCACGCGCTAACGCTTAGTCATTAGACCACTGAGCCGGTATCCAACGGTATTAATGTTTAACTTCAATTAAATTCAATTGAGTGACATATCCACCATTGTCATCAGTGGTTTACTATCTCACAACTGACCCGGTTGAACTCCACTAGTTTTGAAAATAGGCTTTCAATTTGCAACTGAAATATAAATTAAATTTAAACAACCTTCTTGGGAAAATTACATCCAAACGTCTACGTCAACATACAACACTTTGATATATATTATAATGCAAGAAAAATTCAGTATCAGATATATTTAATTGTCTTTTTGACATTCTCAAAAATATTCAGAAAAACCTGTTTATTCCATAGGAATCTCATTACTTTTATCCCTCAAATTGCAACTAGCATTATCAGACTGGCAAGATTCATTTGATTAAAGTAAAATAATAATTGATAGGTCAGACTACGCTTTATATTTGATTTTATTATTGTGGATTCTTCGTGAAAATAGCTTTTTAGTATTTAAGATATTGTTTATAATCTATCATATATCCAAGTAGAATTCTATAATTTCTATAATTATTTCACTAAACTAAACTCTTTTGTTTAAATGTAGTTGTACACAATTGGGGTTTTTCTTCTTATATATACGATATAGTCAGTAAGATGAAAGCCACTCTTGAAAAATTGATGACCATCCTAAAATACATATTAAAATGATGGAAAATAATCTTAGTTCAGTAACATAGAAGATATTGTAATGATCTTTGGTATCAAACAGAGGGATTGTGAGCTGCTACCTAGGTTAGATATATAGTCCACTCGCGACAGACGGCTGCATATTTGAACTTATATTTCACCATACGGTCTTAGGGAAGGGTATAGTTTATCTGCGTGTACAGAAAAATTTAACTTGTTTAGGATTATCAAATTAATTACATCTTATTCATGGGAAGCAGGTTTGTCTTTTCGGTTTCATTTGAGGTGTCGGTATATTAAAAATGATTTAGGTAGTAACGAAATCGAAGGTTTGTTTCACATATACTTATATAGCCTTATTGTCACCTTTATTTTCATAATTTCGATTCAGTGAACTAGTGACAATCCGATCTTACGGTTTGTAATTAAAAGTCAACATTTATTATCGACGGTGTAGCTAATGTTATTTAAAGAATATTAAATGACTTTTCAGTTATAAATTAGTAATTACCAATGACATCAAATACTCATCATTGAACAAGAAGTCAAAATGATGAACAATATCACCCTAACCTATTGCAGTCCATAATCAATTTTCGAACTATATTAGCATCTTGAATTTCTCGTGGATACAAACACGAAGCACAACACATAAAGAATAATTTCTTGAATTACTGTATCGGAGTTTGAGAAGGTGATCAGCTACAAACCCACAAAAGATGATGATAATTCAAAGATATGTTCTATTCTACTTTATAACACAGAAAAATATACTTGGTACATACGCATTACACAAAACAAAATAACAATATAATCAAGTAGAAGAAAGAGCAAAATACAAGAATACAGGTTATTACAGAATACAATTCAAATAGAAACACAAGAGCGACTGATCAATTACAGTCCTAAACATCAATCGGGGGATCTAAACAACCAGTATATATAAATGAAAATTCACCTTACTGCACAAACTAGTAGCTATTTGAACTCAGTAGCTAGGTGAATAACTCTGTGGCGTTTAAAGCGAAAGGTACTGGGTTCGAGCTATTGAGTGAACATCAACTCGGGTGTAGGTACACTCAGCTGATGAGTTCCAGATAGGATAAAACGCGCGTTCTAAATTTCTACTACATGTTTCTTAATAATTGGAAGATTCTAACTCAAGCTTTTGTTCAACTTCCCTGCTTGTTTACTTACAAATATCAATAACATTTAAATAATTTATTGAATTTTTACTGATCAAATGGTTTTCTTTTACAGAATTCATGAAGAAAATAATAAACAATTAACTAGAGAACAAAAACGATCTTTTTTACCATCATTTTCTATAACGAAAGAAAAAGGGCAAAATTCAAAAGAAATACTTGACAAAATATATATATATACACTAAATTCTAAATTAGTTAAATGTGATACTTCAGTTGGGAAATCTTTTGTAAAACCACAAGATTTTCAATCTAATTTAAATTGTTATGAATCAAAGAATACTACTACTATTACTAGTAACAATATAAGTAGTAAGTTTAACTACATTATAAAATATATAATCAATTTTATTGAATCCTTTTAAAAAAAAACAGCAACTTCCAAGAAATTTAGGAAACAAGATAACGTTCATAATTTATCTAATCATTTCAAATAGTTTGAGGGATATAAAGTTGGTGAGACAGATGGATTTTAATACGTTAAAGGGATTAATAAATACTTTTTTGAATAGCATTGAAAGTAAGTTTTAGTGAATCTCAAATATCTGACTTCAATTGGATCGTGTGATTATGGTTATCGACTTATACATTATCGTCAATCCTCGTATATAATTATCGAGTTAACTTGCATTAGGGAATAATGGAATTAAAATAAATCGAATACGAGAATGAAGTTTTGAATATGTATATTTTGTACAATCGTTGATCAGAACAAACAATCAGAGAGAAGGAGTAGATAGTGAAGCGAAACGGATTGGAGGAGGTATGTTAGCCAACACCATTTAACTAAATGTGAATCGATATTTATAGTAAAAAAAATAAGTTACAAACATGTGATGAGTGAGATAAGAAATGCACATACATACGCTTACATAAAGCAGTCAGGGTTGACAAGCGAATAACTAACAAGGTCAAAACGTGACTCAAGAAGAATGAATAAATTGACCCGTTGATAAGCTAGAATAAGCTATGTGGGCTTGACATAGCAACGGACGCTACAAAATAAATGAGCGAAATTTTATCCAATCGAATGTCTTCTCGTGGAGCTTCGAGGGTTTCGTAGGAAAGTACATGAACTATTTCGGGCGGTTGACAGTAGTCGAACTAATACACTACACCACTGTCGTAACTGGATTACTCGAAGACACATACTTCAGGGCACTAAAATCGTAAGATGATGCCGTTTATGTACACTTATATGTGCGAAATTTATGCGTTTTGGCCTGTATACTTTGTATATGTATGCTGTGTACAAAGAGAACGCTCAGGGCCCCACCAGGATGAGCTAGAGTAGACAGTCCTGTATATGATAAAAAAGGGGCCTGATCTACAAGTAAACAAAAAAGCTAGGATGTCCATGGGCTCAAGTTTATTTACCTCTGTTATGCATATAACGTATAAGATGCAACAAATACGAGTGACAGGAGTGGTGACCATAAATTCTCCCAAAGAGGTGAGCATGGCATGAGATACATAAGTGAAAACTTATATGTAACCGGTATGCGTGTTACGTATACTAGTCACAGCTGCGACGCTCGCGCACCAAGACTCAGGGCGAAGACATCTACACACAACGGACATTTTCCTCAGGAAAAACAACCTTCCAATCAGAAAAGCCAACCGTCTTCACCAAAGAGGCTTGACCAACCTCAAGTCTGATACGTCAACTTAGTTACATTTGAAACTGATTTTCTGAGTAAACTTTGGAATAAAATTTGGCTAGCGGTTTTATTTGCTACTGAGCCATTAGAATTACTAGTCAGTAATTCTAAGTCGTTCACTATAACACCTTCAAAACCACTTCTCACATCACAAAGATTCTGTTTAGAAGTTCGAAAACTGTTAAATGTCCAACTCTTTGTATTCACTTAAATATTTTACAGGTACAACTGCTCCAAAGGTAAACAATACACACTATTCAAATGGTTGTGCGACCAAAACTAATTTCGGCCAATGTTGGAGCAACAGCGGAACTTCCCGACAGAACCCCAATAGCATAAATAACATTCGCCATCATAATAACAATAATAATAACAGCCCACAACAACATAACACTACACAAGTTCCTAAAATAAGTCAGTTGAATTGGTCCTATGGGGTAGCTGTACAAAATTCAAATCTCAAATTATTACTACGTACATTAGATCAAGTTGTAAAGAAGTCTTATATTGATCATGTACATCTCAGTCCTTATCATATTCTTTGCTCACAACATGTACATTGTAATTATCAAAGTCAAAATAAACACAACAATAATCAGCACACTAAAATTCCGTCACACTTCAATCATGGTAAGCTTTATAAAAATAGTTATAACCGTGATAAAATATCTTCTTTGTTAAAATGGGAAATGGAAGTTGTACATCTGCCAAGATTTCAGACATATGGTATACGTTTTAAGGGAATCGATGGAGATCCTCGACACTTAAGATCTATGGAAAAATCACTTACTGCACAACTTGTACAAACTATGAATAGTATAAAATAAGCTATCATTATAACCTTGATTTCTATTCCTGTGAATTTTTTGTAAAGGAAGAAAACATTAAAACTAATAGTATACTACTTTCACTTCTGTGTACATTTTATTCGACTGATCTAACTACTAATGAGTAGATAAATATATTGAGATAAAATACTAAATAATAAACTCTACGTTCGCAATAATTTAAGTCCAAAAACAGATGAATTGGTTTCTAGTTAAGTAAACTTATGAATACATCCCATTGAAAACCAAATAAAATATTTGTGTAACTTTAGCCAATACTAAAGTATGGCATTAGGTCAATATAAACGGAAATGTTTTCTCGAGTTAATTTGAATGCTAAGACTAGGTTTGTTATGATCACTCATTAAATAATTTCGACCACTGAAATTAAATCAAAAGGACTCTAGTGCTATTGAATAATACCGAACAAAGTTTAATGTTAGTGGATTTCCCTATTTGTGGGACTACTGTAAGTTTCTTTAAAAATCAAAATCAGACTTGTGGAAAATAGTCCGAAAAATGTTAACTAGGATTTGATCTACAAGTGTACAACTGATATTTTACACTGATGCTAAGAGAATAGTTGGATTATATTAATATTAATTGAAGCCTACAAAGAAAGACAATGTGAATCTAAATCACTGATACAATAATGAATTATTAGGCACCAAATCTGGATTTTTTTAGTTGTGGATATAGATCGAATAAGTCTTCCAAGAAGTGTAGTAAAGGATCATATATTAGTTTTGGGACGAAAAATTGGATATATAGAGACCCAGATGAACATGTTAGTGACTATACGGACTCGGTAACTTGCTGAATAATGTATCCATGCTCAGTGTGAACAAGAACAATGGAATTCAGACACATTCAAATGACAAGTCTCAAAAAGAACAAAACATGCGTCCTGGATCCTACTGCCAGCTATGTACCATATATACTAGTTGTTAAATTCAATACTCCTTCATAAACTTATATGTTTTTCTGATGAGTATGGCAATTAAAACTCCGCCTAGAGCCCCTCTGAGGCGAGTGCCGGTCCCACGTCCGGATAAAGGACGAAGGTTGGGCATGGGGTTAGCGACCCCATCCCATAGAAAACTAACTCATTAAAAAACGCCAACCAGAAAAAATAATTTAAACTGCTTAAACTCTGTCCTGGGAATTAGAATGTTTTCATTTGAAAGAGTTATGATTTCTCATGATGAAAGCCAAGTTCCTTCGGAAGTTACGAGGCTGATACCCGTCCTGACAACCAGAGCAACCATTTATTTTGATAAATGGAATGCTCGTACAATGTGGAAGACCGGGAGAGTCATCCATAATGCTGCAGAAATGAAAAGATACAACCTGGAAGAACTTCGAATCAGTGAAACACATTGGAAGCAGCTTGGACAACAAAACCTGGCTTCAGGAGAGCTGATGTTACACTCCGGTCATGAAGAAGAGAATGCCCCACATACATAAGGGGTTGCATTGATACTGTCCAAACGAGCACAAAATGCACTTATAGGATGGGAATCTCATGGACCAAGAATCATCAAAGCCTCCTTCAAAACAAAGAAAGGGGGCATTACAATTAACATCATCCAATGCTATGCGCCTATCAATGAGAATTGCTCAACAAAGGACTTGACCATTCTGATGGGAGACCTAAATGCCAAGGGTGGAATGGACAACATCATGGAACAACATGGATAAGGAGAAAGGGACGAAAATGGTGAGAGATTCGCAAACCTATGTGCCTTCAATAAACTGGTCGTAGGCGGCACCATATTCCCACATAAACGCATCCACAAAACCACATGGACTTCACCGGATCACACTACGCAAAACCAACTCGACCATATCTGCATCAACAAAATGTTCAGGAGGACAATGGAGGACGTGAGAACCAAGAGAGGAGCCGATATAGCATCAGATCATCACTTTCTGATCGCCAAGATGAAATTGAAACTCAAGAGGCACTGGACAACGGGGAGGACAATATCACAAAAATTTAATACGGCTCTTCTTCGGGATAATGACAAACTCAATAAATTCAAGATAACCCTCAGCAATAAGTTCCAGGCCTTTCATGATCTACTCAATGGAGAAGAAACTACTATGGAGAGCAACTGGAAAGAGATAAAAGAGGCAATCACTTCAACATGTCATGAGGTTCTGGGCCAAAAGAAGCACCATCACAAGGATTGGATCACGGTCGATACACTGGATAAGATTCAAAAAAGGAGGAACAAGAAGGCAGCAATCAATAACAGTCGAACAAGAGCAGAAAAAGCCAAGGCACAAGCTGAATACACAGAAGTAAACAAGCAAGTGAAGAGGAGCATCAGAACTGACAAACGTAAATGTGTGGAAGATATAGCAATGACGGCGGAAAAGGCTGTCAGAGAAGGAAACATGAGACAACTGTATGACACAACAAAGAAACTCTCTGGAAATCACCGTCAACCAGAACGACCAGTAAAAAGCAAAGTAATCACCAACATTAAAAAACAACGAAACAGGTGGGTAGAACACTTCAAAGAACTCTTGAATCGACCAGCTCCACTGAACCCACCCAACATCGAAGCAGCACTCACGGACCTCCCAATCGATGTTGGCCCACCAACAACTGAAGAGATCACCATGGCCACCAGTCAAATCAAGAGCGTCAAAGCAGCAGTACCAAACAACATTCCAGAAGAGACACTGGAAGCAGGCGTGGCAGTAACTGCCAGGATACTCCACATTCTCTTCAGCAAGATTTGAGATGAAGAACAAGTACCAAGAGACTGGGAAGAAAGACTTCTGATCAAAATACCAAAGAAAGGCGATCTCAGCAAGTACGAAACTACAGGGGCATCACTCTTCTCTCAATACCAGGAAAAGTCTTCAACAGAGTACTGTTAAACAGAATGAAGGACTCCGTAGATGCCCAACTTCGAGACCAACAGGCATGATTCCGTAAGGATAAATCGTGTACAGACTAAATCGCAACTCTACGGATCATTGTGGAACAATCAATTGAATGGAATTCATCACTCTACATCAACCTCATTGACTACGAAAAAGCATTTGATAGCGTGGACAGAACAACCCTATGGAAGCTTCTTCGACACTACGGCGTGCCTCAGAAGATAGTCAATATAATACGGAATTCTTATGATGAATTTAATCGCAAAATCGTTCATGGAGGACAGCCGACAGACTCGTTAGAAGTAAAGACCGTTTCAAGCAAGGTTGCTTACACTCATCCTTTCTCTTTCTCCTGATGGTCAACATCTGGGGGAAGCATGAGATACAGTGGACAGCTAGGATGCAGCCGGACGGTCTAGACTTCGCAGATGATCTGGCTCTTCTATCGCACACGCAACAACAAATGCAGAAGACAACCAGTGTAGCAGCAGTAGGTCTCAACATACACAAAGATAAAAGTGAGATTCTCCAATACAACACTACACGCACCAATCAAATCACACTTATCGGAGATTCGGAAGATGTAAAAATCTTTACATATCTGGGCAGCATCATTGATGAGTATCGTGAGTTTGATGCAGATGTGAAGGCGCGGATCAACAAAGCAAGAGCAGCATATCTACAATGGAAGAACATATGGAACTCAAAACAACTCTCTGTCAACCAACACCAAAGTCGGAATTTTCAATACAAATGTCAAGACAGTTCCACTGTATGAAACAGAAACTTGGATAACTACGAAAGCCATCATCCAGAAGATACAAATGTTTATTAACAGTTGTCTACGTAAAATACTTCGGATCCGTTGGCCATACACTATCAGCAACAACCTACTGTGGGAGAGAAGAAACCGGATCCCAGTGTAGGTAGAAATCAGAAAGAAGCGCTGGAATTGGATAGGACACACATTGAGGGAAGCACCGAACTGCGTCACCAGGCAAGTCCCTACTTGGAATCCCGAAGGCCAAAAGAGGAGAGGAAGACCAAAGAGCATATTACGTCGAGAAATGGAGACAGATATGTGAAGAATGAACAATTGGATAAACCCAATAGACTACTTCTGGAATACAGGACATAAATCATGTTCTATTTTGGACACATTAATAAGATATTAAAGGATCTATCTAAACCATTGAGACTAATTTTAAGTTGTCGCTTATGGTTCCTAAGACTTTAAACAATGAGGCTTAAACCAAAGACTAGTAACTGCACTAATTGTCATTGACTTTGTAAGATTAATTTTAAGCGTTTATCTACCTATTTTTAGGCAAGTGCTGTTAATTCTTTGGTCATGCACAGGACAGGAAGGATTAAAGGAATACATTCAACTGCACACTCAACCTTCTCTGTATTTAAACATAAAATTGTCCAGCACTCATTACATTATTTCCTAAGCTCGAAACCACTGTTAGTGTCTTCATTATCTGTAGTCTATTTCTTCGCTTGATTCCGCGTAATTGGACTGACATAAAGGGCATAAGAACAAATGCAATGCTACTTCCACTCGTCATATGCAGTATTATAAATGATGTAGGTTAGTAAATACCGAGCTACTCTACTATACATATGCATGGCCTTCGATCATCCACTTGCATCTTCCGGTGTGTTCTGAGATCCAAACTGTCTTCTTGTCTGGTCACCAACTGTTCTGTCTTCGCCGTACTTTTGATGAACTGAGACTCTACTCTCCGTCTGATGACTGTAACAACTTCGACGCCACGTCCCGCTACATACTACTTACAAGCAATCTTACGAGTAGCGTCCACCACACTACGAGTAAATATTTACCTTGTCACTGTTCCTTTACGTTAAGATTGATTAGATCATCAAAAATAGCTCGTAATAACTGTACACCTAATAAACCTTTTTAAGTGCGAATTTAGCTGCTTTTGTTAATTACCTGAGGATACAGAGGGCAGGTTTTTGTTCGCTGCAGTTGGTGTTAGAAGTGTTTGCCTATATTATTGACAGCCATAATTTTAATACGAGTAGGCCAACTCGACTTTGATTTAACTATAAGAACGTTTACGAGGAAAATAAACTGTTGAACAGTCATGGATAAATAAACTATTCTTTAAAGGTATTCCTATCATTACCACTAGTTGATACACATCCACTTAAATGACAAGTCCTCATAATCTTTTCATTTTCGACCAAACGTTGAGACAAATTAAATAATTATATAGTTAGGCTCTGTAATTATGAACTAACTATAAGTCTCGTCCATTTTGTGACTGATAATACTTTCCAGGATTATAGCAGTATGTATTAACTCAAAGCATTACACCATTACTACAATTCCTACATGATTTACTTAGAAACTCAATATTTCACCACCTATAGCATAATAAAACACGTAATAGAAGTAGTATATACATGAATAAGTACTGTATTATCAACAATCAAGAATATAGCTAATCCAATTCTTTTTATAACAATTTCCTGTCTGAAACTGTTTCACTATCTTGTTCTGTTTTGGAAGATTTCGCTAAATGAACACGCCAATACAATCCAGGTGTATCAGATCGACGAATTAAATAAGAATCTCGATCTAAATTTGGCTTTATAATTAATCCTTTTCTAGCTGACCATTCATATGGAGGATACATACGTGATTTCTCCGAGGAAGTCGGTTCAATAGGAACCTAAATTAGATAGGAAAAGATAAGAAATATACACACACAATATAATCAGGTTGTTAGGATGAGATGGATAAATGAGAGTGATAAACTTTGTGAATTGTTTTTGGATACATTAGTATTCATATTTTGTAACATGCAATTTACTAATATTGAGTCCAAGGGGTTTTCAAACTCCCAGAATTACAACTTTCCATTTGGTTTACTATTTTCAAATCTTTTTCTGTTCTCAAACTATTGTACACTAATTATAAGCCTATTATTTTTTGTGCCCCGAACCCCTTAGTTTAGTACATAATGTGACTTCTCATTTATGGTGCATTGTAACCTTACAATTCGCCCAATTAATCATGTAAATTTATAGACTACACATGTAGAGATTTTATCATTTGTCGCAATACTACTTTCAGATTGGGGATCAGTGACACAGGGATTTTTAACAGGTCAACATGTTTGGATATCAGGTTATTTAATCGTAACATTACTATTATCCCTTATCTTTAACATTGATTACAAGACATTATCATGATTATAGCTGTTTTGACTGCATTAAAAATTTCTTGATTTGTTTATCTGCACCATTTAAACTTATAATTTAGTTTGGTTTTCAATTTATTCTCTGAAGAAGCGATTTAAACTGCGTCCCGAAACGTCGAAATTCAGTTTTCAACTAGTTGGAATATTACATATATAACACCATTTTATTATGAATGAAGTTGGATTTAAAAGGCAAAATAATGCTGGGTCTAATGTCGAATACAACTTAAATACACAAACAGATATAGCATCAACGTAGAGACTGACATATATGTGGGTTGGTTCAAGTTGCTACATCAGATTAGCACAACGGTATGAAAATAATGAAAGAGATTGGGATAATGCAGTAGCAACTATAAAAAGGAACATTAAACCTTGAGAATATGGCTTAGAAAGACAGAGTCGAGAGGTATGTGTGACAGGATACTGAAATTAAAAGTCGAGAGGACGATAAAGAGTGGGTGCGCCGACGTAAATATGAACGATTTTGGTCAGCGTCTCCAATAATTGATCAAGATTATAATGCGGACCCCAACCAAGTAGTCTGCATCGACCAACATGGCTTAGTCTAACAGTTTGTGACTTCATGCACTGATGTCCCATTTTCGTTTAGCTTCATTCCAACGTACTTTTTGAACAAGAAAGCATAGCTCGTTGGGGTGGGTTGTGTTAAGACATACGTGACACATGTCCTAATGACCTCAGTCAATGAAGATTCGCAACAATATCAATCAATCTATCATCTTTGCCAAGTACTCCATGGCTAACATCAACATCACTCAGTCGTTCCCCAAAACACAAGCAACGCTTCGAACACATTTATGACCAAAAACCTTAATTTAGAGACAAATAAAATGACCAGTCACTAAAAGTAAGGAAGTATGAAATTCAAACGAACCAATAACACTAGAAGTATGTGCGTCAACACCATAAACTAATAAGAGCAAAAATGTTCTGAAGATGACAGTAATAAATCCGGGATAGAGTCAGTAAAATGAAAAATTTGTGGGTAGGCTAACAAATGGAATATGGTTAATGAATGAATAGGAATCAGTAGTAATAAAGCAGTCTCTACGTTTGCATCAGACCCTCCTTGTTCATCATGATGCTGCCCAAGACAGAGTTTGGTGGAGAATGCTGGTGGGCAGTCTATACTCCTCCACAAGTCTAACAGGCGTAAGTAATAAAGCAGAATATAAGAACAAACAAAGTATATGACTCGGAGATGAATTGTTTCTCAGTTAAGTCAGTGAACTTAATGATTTTGCAAATTCTATAAACATTAGATTACTGATTAACGACTAGTTCTATTCCATTTATTGATTAATTTAAACATTAAAAATGGTGTGTAATTCATTACTATTACTATTGTCATCATTAGCATTACTGCAGATGCTGTTTAGTTAGTAGTTGTTGATAGGTAAATCAGTCTGCTACTAAAGTCACGTTTTTTTCTCTTGCGCCAACGTAGTAGCCTCGGACTGTTGCAATTAGTAGCCGATAAAAGTATTTTGCAATTTTAGCAAATAGCCGTATCAGCAGTAATAATCAGTACTCAATTACAAGTTTCTACATTACAATATTACACAATATAGGTATTTTATAAACAAGGAAAGCAGGAAAAAGAATATTAAGGAGTAAAAAGTTGCAATCAAATAAATTTTCAGTGATAATTGTAGATAAAAGTGTAGAAGACGATTATATTTCTTTTGAAACATAGTTCACACACAAATATATGGACGAATATTTTTTTTAATAAATTCTCTTCAGGCTCTACAATTCCATATCCAAGTTAATAATCCAAAAACTGGTCAGGTTTAAGGCAAAATACATCGTTTAAAAATTATAGTATGTGAATTTAGTACTGTAAAATAAAATCGTTAATTGAGATCATTAATTGATCAATGTTAGACCACCATTGAAAACCTGCAAACACTGGACAGTCATTTCGTCCTAGTAAGGGACACTTCAGCAACACACGCCCACGACCCCGTATGCGGGATCCGAACCCAGGACCTTCGGTTTCGCACACGAACACAACCTCTAGACCACTGGCGGATGAGCACTGCTGAAGAGCCCCATACTACTAAGACGGAACGGCCGTCCAGTGATTCTAGGTCTTCAATGGTAGTCTAACATTGATCGGTTCATGATCCTAATTAAAACTCGACAAACTCCACAAACCTACACTGAAATCCGATAATGTTGGAATAACTAATATGAAAAGTTAACTTGATAAAAGTTTATAAGTAAAATGAAATTGTGAGATTAGTGATCAGAACAATATCGTTAACGTGGGGTGGATAGATAATAATCTAGTTGCAAATCAGAAATCAAGTAATATGTAGAATAATATGAATTAGATACGAAGTAGAAAATATGGGTGGATGCTGAATAAATTTTTCGAAGGGTATGCAAGTGTTTTGACAATAATAATACCAATACCAACAATGATTATAATAATATGTGAAGTTATGTTTTAACTATGGAAATACAAAGAGGAAGGTTGTATGAACATTAATCAAATTATACCACTATATCGACAAATGATCATTAACCAATTGGGTTAGGAGTTAGCCAAGATAAAGGGAGCGGTTGAAAATATTTCTTCCGGATACAAAGCTTCTCCTTTTTGATCCCAATAGCTATTGCTTCAGGCGTCTGAAGGATTCATAGTCTAACGGATCTTGGCAGATTGCTGTCAACACGATATATTATTGTTAATGAGTGCTCCCGCTCGTACTAAACGAGCTAGAATCGAGTTGTTAATAGTTTTAACTATACTTTTGCTTAACCAAACTTCGAGATGCTCGCGAGACCGAATATACTGATTCCCGGAACACTTGCTAACATAAATTGCTCCACATGAGCAGTTGAATTGACAGACACAGAAGCAGGAGGCTAGTCTAGGTGGCTTATCATTCAATCTCGAAGTGAGCATTGGATGTGTGGCAAGAATTAATTGTAGTTTATCAGCATTATAGGTTCTTTTGATTGATCTATGCAACTTTAGTATTAGCATTTACCTGGATGCATAGCCTCTAAATTGCAAGTGTATATACAGAGAGTCTTGTTGACAGGCCTCCCTTATGCTCTCTTTTCATAAGTAAATGTTTATTTATAAATTTCTCCGGATATCCATTTCCTTTTAGAGTACGCAGTGCCTTTATTTCTTCGTCAACCGTATCTAAGGAGTAGATGGTCTGGACTCTATAATGAAGTGTCTTAATTAGGTTCCTTTTATATTGTAAGGGAATAAAGCTAAGAAACGTTGTATACCAACCAGTCCAAAATGTTTTCTTGTTTAAGCTTCTTCTTAGTGACCCATCTATTTCCCATGTAAGCAGGTCATCAAGGAAGGCTAATCTACTCCCATTTACTTCCTTACAGGACTTCATTAAATCGCTTGAGTGTCTCTGTCCGGTCAGTATGGTCGTGAAAAAGGATGATAACTCGTCAATATGCTGTACCAGTTTACCATTTTCCAGTTTAGTGAAGAAAATGACAGCCAATATGGGGCCTAGTGGTGAACGCACAGCGACACCATTTATTTGTCTATATATTTCACCACTAAATTGAAGTTTACGTTCATAGCATATTTTAGTAATAAATTCTTAATGATGTCCACAGGGATTGTAGTCTTTATTTCTTATTCTTTAAGTTGTTCATGTATATTTTTGACAATATCCTTGAGTGGGACGTATGTAAACAATGATGTTACGTTTGAGGATATAATCGTTTGTCCTTTAGTGTTTATGTTTTTGACCTTGTTAATGGGCTGGATTACATCTTAACACTACGCTTCACTTGATGTTTGTGGTCCAAAATCGGTCTCAATGGGACATCCGGTTTGAGCAACTTCGGTAGTCCGTATAGCCTTGGTAAATGGGTACCTATCGGCTTAGTTGTTTCATATAAGTTTGATGGGACTACCTGTTGATCACTAAAAGTTTTCAAAAATCTTGTAAGTTCATACTCTATCTTATTACTAATGCTTTTTTTAGAATTTTAGATTATTGATCAAGATTTTATTTATCTTGTCAATTTAGTCTTTTGTGTTAGGTAGGACAATTCCTGTTCCTTCATCAGGTTTCGTAATAATCAAATTTTTGTTATTAGTAAGTTCATTAATAGCCCCCACCCCATGTGTTTTTTTTTACTTAAAATGCATTTGTATTTGTATCCACTGTTCTTAAACGGACAGCAGTAATCAACAACATTTGATTTGAAACGTTCAAGTTGTTGATTTTATTTTATTATATATCACAAAAAATCCTAAATTCACACATATTAATTTTAAACGATCAATTTTGCCTAAAGCTAACCACTTACTGAATTATTAATTTGGGTATACAACTGTAGAACCTAAGGAGAATTTATTGGAGAGAATATTCTTTGTACATAAAATTTTCTTTACTCCAGTTATTGCTATTTATAGATTTCTTCATGTCATTATTGAGAGATTGAGGATGAATAAAACTCTACAACAATAGACTAAATAAGACAGATCAATCAAAAACATTTTTGAAACAGAGCTCAATTAATTGATTAATCAATTGTCTATATCTAAGATTATTTCGTTACCAGGCTTGCCATTTTAATATACAAATTATTGATATCATTAAGTAATTTAAGTTTTTGCAATCAATGAGTTAAGGATGCAGAATGTAATCATGTTTATAAGATGATGAAGATTCTGACTGAGAACATGAATTTCACTAGTGTTAGGTTCTATAAGCTGGATTGCTTAATCGTGAAACTTCATTGACTTTCATCAACACATTCAGTTATTCATAAATGGTGTGGGAAACCTAACACATACGTTCATCAGTTGAAGTTTTCATATACTGTATAAGCACGAACAATTGTTAACTATGAAAACTTTCAGGTATTAGTATAGATGGTGTATTGCTTATTTTCGTATAGTTTAGTAACATATCCTATGTAGTTTTTATTCTAAAGAAGTTAGATAAATAAACTATTTAGTATACAATAACTTAATTAAATGTTCACCAACAGCACAAATCTATGCATGCAGTAATGTGACATATTGGATGAGAAAGGAATAATATTAACAAATAGCTCATGTACACGACTAAATCTGTCACCGACCAACATGTGTTTTATTTTACACAACTATGAATGAATAATTTTGGTCGAATTATATACCGCATGAAATTACACAGAGTAATGTTATGAATGAGTAAATAAATAGATATAGGAAAATTTGGGAGCTATTCATCAGTGAATCGGTGTAAATATTTTTCAATATGTAATTCGTTAAGTAATTGATTTATAGTGTCCCGACCGTAGCTGCTACCTTGACGTGGTGGTCGGGCTTGCCTTTCGTGATGACCCAACCGAGCTATATTGGCTGGAACACATGTTCCTGCAGGTTCTATCATGCCAGGCAGGTCGATTGGAGAACGGTAAGACTAAAAGCAGCAACTCAAGGTCTGAGGGCGAAGTCGTACTGCTGACTGTACAGAGGTGTGACAGCAGTAAGGTGTTTCCCTCGGACAACCAGCATCTACAGCGATGCTGCCTTCTCACAAGGAAGGAAGGGGTTAGAAAATGTTGACCCTAAAAATGTCACACCTCACCTTACCCCACGAATTTCCGTCTCCGGTGGTAAGGTCTTTTGAAGAACGGAGCTAACACATTAAAAACCTCCCACAAAAAGGCCGTGCGCCACCGGCCTCAAGCAGTTGTCCCTTGGGCTCTGCGGTCACGCACCCAGGTCGCTAAGACCAACACTGATCCGATTTCCTTTTCAGGTTCCTCAAGAAATACCCTTCCACGGTGTGGGCAACCGGGAAGTAATATTAGCCCTCATACCCGTAACAGCACACGAGACCAAGTTGGTCACATTCAAATCCTTCCTACACCTCCTAATAACTCTCTAATTTCCACGACTAACCCTTCTTGCGTCGCTTTATCACCTCGCCCCGCAAGTGCAAACGATTCGAGTACGCGGAATGTTATTCCTGGTCTCCTGAAACCACGCTCCAAACTACACGTAGGAGCTTTCAACGTACGAACACTGTGCCAAATAGGACAACAGGCTTCCTTAGCTAAGACTTTAGAATCTCGCTCCATCGATGAGTGCTGCGTCTCCGAAACGCGCACACAGGATCCTAGTAGTGTCATTCATTTGACCGCACCATGTCAAAGTAACGAACCAACTCGATTTACGCTTCGTGTATCTGGAAGCTCTGATGCTGCTTCCCGTGGCCTCGCTGGCGTAGGTATAGCATTGAGTCCTAGGGCAGAACTAGCTCTCTTAGACTGGATCCCAGTAGATAGTCGTTTGTGTGCTGTCCGACTAAACGGAACAGTAAGGACTCGAAAAGATAGGGACACTCGTCGTTGCGTCTTTGTCGTCTCTGCCTATTCTCCCACTGACTGCAGCTCAGATGATGTAAAAGATGAGTTTTACAGAAAGCTTTCCGACCTTCTCCGAAAAGCTAGGCGTTCAGATGTAGTAATAATGGCTGGTGACTAATGCTCAAGTAGGTAAACTAAGCGAGAGGGAAAGACACCTGGGTGGATCTTATGGTGTCGCGGCTCAAAGAACAGATAACAGCGACCGTCTGTTGCAGCTGTGCTCAGATAACCGCCTGCTTCTTGTAAACACTAACTTTAAGGAAAAACATCTTTTAACATTTTGATTGAGATCATGAATCGAATGATGTTAGACCACCGTTGGAAACCTGGAAGCACTGGACGGCCGTTTCGTCCTAGTATGGGACTCCTCAGCAGTGCGCATTCACGATCCCGCTAGCGGGATTGGATGCCGACCCAGTGGTCGAGTAGGTTAAGCGTTCGCGCGCGAGACTGAAGGCCCTGGGTTCGAATCCCGCGAGCGGGATCGTGAATGCGCACTGCTTAGGAGTCCCATACTAAGACGAAACGGCCGTCCAGTAATTCCGGGTTTTCAACGGTGGTCTAACATCAGTCGATTCATGATCTCAATCAAAAACTTAATAATCTCCACAACCCCAATAATGATCTTTTAACATGGCGACCCCCTAATTCGTCTCAACGCTGGACCCAAATAGATCACATCGCTATCAGCCACCGATGGAGGTACTCGATAGAAGAATGTCGCTCATTCTGGAGCACATGCTTAGACTCAGATCATGCTCTGGTGCGAGCGCGTATTTGTCTATGCCTTCCTGGACGTAGGAAAGATGGTGCAAGGAAACCCCTTAGGGTCCTACTAAATGATTGTCAAGCTAAGAGTATATTTCAGGAACATCTAGAAAAACAATTAGACAGCCATGTAAGTGATGCCCACCCCGAGGCAGCGTGGAATGACATCCGAAAAGCTGCAAAAACAGCAGTGATATCTGCAAGTACGGTAAACCATAAGGTTAGGGAGAAACACTGGATCTCAGCAGCATCTACCGCACTGATAGATGCTCGAAAACTCATTCCATCTGGCTCTCAACATAACGAAGAGCGGAGTCAGCTTAAGCGTAAGCTGACTAGAAGCCTACGCAAAGATCGTGAACAGTGGTGGGTAGCGAAAGCAAGAGAGATGGAAAAGGCAGCGGCAATAGGTAACAGCAGGCAACTGTTCAGACTTGTTAAGGAAACCGGTATTAGGAACCCAACCGTTAGCAAAACAATCGCAGAGAAAGATGGACATATTATTCATTCTCAATCCAGGAGATTGGATCGATGGGCAGAATACTTTAGGGATCAGTTCAACTGGCCTTCAGCCACACTTCGGTTTCCCACGATCCCCAGTCGACCTGAATGGCATGTTGATGTAAGTCCTCCGACTCTTTACGAAGTTGAAAAAGCTATAGGAAATCTGAAGCATGGGAGAGCAGCAGGCCCTGACAGGTTTACCCCTGAGATTTTTAAGGATGGTGGTCCAGTATTAGCAGCGAAATTGACTGAGGTCTTAGGTAGAATCTGGGAACTGGACGTAATCCCATCTGACTGGCCTCAATCACTGATTGTACCAGTCTATAAGAAAGGACAAAAGTCCTCCTGTGACAATCACAGAGGAATTAGTTTGACTAATAGTGTCTAAAATATTAGCTTCAATAATACTTCGACGTCTAACCAAAGCTCGTGAAGAGCAGACTAGAGAAAACCAGGCTGGTTTTCGACCTGGACGTGGTTGTATAGATCAAATATTCACACTACGTCAGGTCCTAGAACATAGACACGCATTCAGACGCCCCACAATGGTAGTATTTCTCGACCTTAGGGCGGCATTTGACTCTGTTGATCGTGAGGTTCTATGGCAGTGTTTGTCACTGAAGGGAGTACCAAAGAAGTACGTCAACCTTATAAAGGCTCTCTACTCGAACACAACTGGTCGAGTGAGAGCTTATGGTGAACTGTCATCAGAATTGATTACCTCAAGTGGTGTTCGTCAGGGCTGTCCACTATCTCCATTCTTGTTTAACTTTGTCGTTGATGTCCTTTTAGAGATGACACTTTCCTCATCTAAATTTCCAGGAGTTGAACTTCTACCGGGAGATCCACTTGTTGACTTAGAATATGCCAATGACATAGTTCTATTTAGTGAAGACGCTGACAAAATGCAGAGTCTGTTGACCACTCTAAGCAACAATGCAGGCATGTTCGGCATGCGATTTTCTCCCTCGAAATGCAAAATGTTGCTTCAGAATTGGGTTGTGTCGACATCTGAACTAGTGATAGGGAGTGAAGTCGTTGAGCGTGTCGACCGCTTCACTTATCTCCGAAGTCTCATCAGCCCTTGTGGTTTGGTGTGTTACGAAATCTCAGCACGGATACAGAAGGCTCGACTAACTTTTACCTACTTGCGTCATTTGTGGCGTAGGCGAAATATCCGTCTATGAACCAAAGGACGTGTTTACTGAGCAGCAGTTCGTTCCGTCCTACTCTATGGCAGTGAAACATGGCCAGTAAGAGTAGAGGATATTCGTAGGTTACTAGTATTTGATCATGGGTGTCTTCGAAACAACTCCGCCTGTAGCTCTCCTAGAGTTACTGCCAGTCCCAAGCCCGAGTTAAAGGAGGACGGTTAAGCATGGGGTTAGCGACCCCACCCTGTAGAAAAATAACTCGCTAAAAAACGCTAACCAGAAAAAATAACTCAAACCATTTAAACTCTGCCCTGGGAGTTAGAAGGTCTTCATTTAAAAGAAATATGACGCCTCAGGGTGAAATCCGAGTTCCTTCAGTAGCCATGAGGCCGATGCCCCTTCTAACAACCAGAGCAACAATTTTTACAGGTACATGGAACGTTCGGACAATGTGGGAGACCGGGAAGACCAGTCAAATAGCAACGGAAATGAGGAGATACAACTTGGCAGTACTGGGAATCAGTGAAACCCATTTGACCCAAGCTGGACAACAAAGGCTAAATACGGGACAGATGCTGCTATACTCCGGTCACAAAGAGGAAAATGCTCCACACACTCAGGGAGTTGCTCTAATGCTGTCCAAAGTAGCATGAAATGCACTGGTAGGATGGGAATCTCACGGATCCAGAATCACCAAAGCATCATTCAAAACAAAGAAGGAGGGGATCACAATGAACATTATCCAATGTTATGCACCCACCAATGATAGCAACGACGACGTTAAAGATCAATTCTATGAGAGGCTGCAATCAATCATAGAGAAGTGCCCAAGAAAGGACCTCACCATTCTGATGGGAGATCTAAACGCCAAAGTCGGAATGGACAACACCGGATATGAAGACATCATGGGACTACATGGACCGGGAGAGAGAAACGAAAACGGGGAAAGATTTGCAAATCTGTGTGCATTCAATAAATTGGTCATAGGCAGTACAATATTTCCACACAAACGTATACACAAAGCTACATGGATCTCACCGGACCACACCACAGAGAACCAGATGGATCATATTTGCACCAACAAAAGTTCCGAAAGACAATGGAAGATGTGAGAACCAGGAGAGGAGCGGACATAGCTTCAGATCACCACCTGGTTGTGGCCAAATTGAAACTGAAGCTAAAGAAGAACTGGACAAACAGCACCACAAAGGTTCAATACAGCCTTCCTTCGAGATACTGACAAACTCAATGAATTCAAGGTAGCTCTCAACAACAGGTTCCAAGCCTTACAGGACCTACTGAAGGAAGAAGAAACTACTATGGAGTATAGCTGGAAAGGTATCAAAGAAACATTAACTTCAACGTGTCAAGAGGTTCTGGGCCCCAAGAAGCATCATCACAAGGAATGCATCTCTATAGAAACACTGGACAGGATCAAAGAAAGGAAGAACAAGAAGACTGCAATTAACAATAGTCGAACATGAGCAGAGAAAGTCCAAGCACAAGCTGAATATACAGAAGCAAACAAGCAAGTGAAGAAGAGCATTAGAGCTGACAAGCAAAAATACGTGGAAGAACCAGCAACGACGGCGGAAAGCTGCAAGAGAAGGAAATATGAGACAGCTTTACGATACGACGAAGAAGCTAGCAGGGAAATACAGTAAACCAGAGAGACCGGTCAAAGACAAAGAAGGAAGACCAATCACTGAGATTCAACAACAGCGGAACAGATGGGCAGAGTACTCCGAGGAACTCCTGAACAGGCCGGCTCGAATGAATCCACCGGATATCGAAGCGGCACACACAGATCTTCCTATAGATGTCAATCCACCAACGACCGAAGAAATCAAAATGGCCATCAGACAAATCAAGAGCGGGAAAGCAGCAGGACCTGACAATATACCAGCTGTAGCGTTGAAGTCAGACATCGAAGTAAATACAAGCATGCTTCATCTTCTATTCAAGAAGATTTGAGAGGAGGAACAAATGCCGATGGATTGAAAAGAAGGACACCTCATCAAGATTCCAAAGAAAGGAGATCTGAGCAAGTGTGAAAACTACAGAGGCGTTACACTACTGTCAATACCAGGAAAAGTCTTTAACAGAGTGTTACTGAACAGGATGAAAGAAGCAGTAGACGCTCAACTTCGAGATCAACAAGCTGGATTCCGTAAAGACCGGTCGTGCACAGACCAGATTGCAACACTACAGATCATCGTCGAACAATCAATTGAGTGGAATTCATCACTGTACATCAACTTCATTGATTATGAGAAGGCATTTGACAGTGTAGATAGGAGAAGGTTATGGAAAATTCCTCGACACTACGGAGTTCCTGAGAAGATTGTCAACATTATCCGGAACTCATACGACGGACTACAGTGCAAATTAGTGCATGAAGGACAGCTGACAGACGCATTCCAAGTAAGGACCGTAGTAAGACAAGGCTGTCTACTCTCTCCCTTCCTCTTTCTTTTGGTGGTCGATTGGATTATGAAGACTTCGACATCTGAGGGAAAACACGGCATACAATGGACAGCTCAGAACCAATTAGACGATTTAGACTTCGCAGATGACCTAGCCCTCCTATCCAATACACACGAACAAATGCAGACAAAGACAGCCAGCATAGCAGCAGTCTCTGCATCAGTAGGCCTCAACATACACAAAGGGAAAACCAAGGTCCTCAAACACAACACGAAGAACAGAAATCCATCACTCTTGATGGCGAAACTCTGGAAGATGTGGCATCCTTCACATACCTGGGAAGCATTGTCGACAAACAAGGAGGTTCAAATGCAGACGTCAAGGCGAGGATTGGCAAAGCTAGAGCGGCATTCCTTCAACTGAAGAACATATGGAACTCAAAACAACTTTCAACCAATATCAAAGTCAGAATCTTCAATACCAACGTCAAGGCAGTTCTACTGTACGGAGCTGAAACTTGGAGAACTACAACAACCACCATCAAGAAGGTACAGGTATTTATCAATAGCTGTCTACACAAGATACTCAACACCCGTTGGCCGGATACCATCAGCAACAGTCTTTTGTGGGAGAGAACCAACCAGCTTCCAGCTGAAGAGGAAATTAGGAAAAGACGATGGAAATGGATAGGACATACATTGAGGAAATCATCAAACTGCATTACGAGGCAAGCGCTAACTTGGAATCCTGAAGGGAAGAGGAAAAGAGGAAGGCCAAAGAACACATTACGTCGGGAATCAGATATAAAAAGGATGAATAATAACTAGAAAGAGCTGGAAAGGATTGCCCAGGACAGGGTTGGATGGAGAATGCTGGTAAGCGGCCTATGCTCCATCACGAGGAGTAACAGGCGAAAGTAGTCTTCGAAACATTGCTCGTATATCCTGGGACCATCGATTAAGCAACTCAGTTGTTAGGAAACGGGTACTAGATAAGGATGGCAAATCAACTGATGAAGTAGTAAAACTTAATCAGTTGAGATGGCTGGGACATGTGTTGCGCATGCCCGACCACCGACTGCCCCGACGTGCTATGTTTTCTGGTGTAAAAGTAGGTTGGAAGAAAGCTAGGGGCGGCCAGACCAAAACATGGCACAAATTCATGAAGTCACTGACAAGTGGACTGAGCCATGTTGGTAGGTGTAGACTACTGTAGTGTCTGTCATTATGTTAAGCCCAAATACCTTATTATTCTAACTTTCGTACAGTCCATTCTATTCATTCTATTTGAGTCACATTCTGACCTTGTTAATTATTCGCTTATCAATATCTTGACCGTCTTTATATGAGCGCGTAGGTGTATGTACACTTCTTATCCCATTACTCATCGCATGTCTGTAATTTATTTTTGTGTGCTTATAAATATTGACTAACGCTTGGTTAACATGGAGTTGGCTTACCAGCCATCTCCACCGCGCGCCAATTTAGCTTCGCTTTCTCATCTTCGCACCGTTTCTCCGTTCGTTTGTCTAATCAACAATTATACAAAATATATGCATTCAAGACTCCATCCTCGTCATTTGACTTATTTAATCCCGTTATTAACTAACGCGATTTAAGTCAATGATTATATACGAGAATAGGTGATAGCAAAGATTCATACAATCATTCATACGATCGAATTGGAGTCAGATCACGGGCCACTAAACTGGTGAGCCCGCCGACGACGGACCTATCACAACCCAGCGACAACGGCCACCCACGAAACTACCTGGTTGGGGACCGCGAGATGATAGCAACCGATGGTTAGAGGCCTTGAGTGACATGGCTCAAAATCGTTTGCAATGGTGCAGGTGCATCCACTCTCTGTGTTCTCTCAAACTCTAATCTTCTGTATTCTTCATGTCTTTTATTTTCTTTCCAAATCTATTCCACTGGACCATACTCCTTAAATAACATCTTCAAACCCTAATGTTCCCTATCGCTACTTATACTTTCAGTACCTCTACCACTATTGGATTTTAATCGATAACTAAATCTCTGTGCTAATGTGGCATGGCAACTCGAACCGATGTACGTACGTACGAAGTTCCACGTTGTTACTGACTGACTGATTTATAGTGTTCAAAATTGTTCTAATTGTAAACTTTTATTTTGTCCATTAATAACAGTGATTTAATCATTAACCTAGCATTCAGTTTTGTATTATAGATGTCCTAGCTTTTCATACATTGAGATGTATTATTTATGGTGTATCATGGTCCTTTATTGCATACATATAATCACATTGTGGTGTGTGCTACTGATATCGACAGATATAAGTAGTATGCATCATCAATCGTTAGTGAAATGCCTGGAGACAAATGCTTAAGAAGATCGAAGAGAAGAGAACAATGAAAGAGAATGACTGGTGTGGAAACGAAAGAACAATGAAGTCTGAGACGATTAATTGACATTTTGCAAATGAAGTACTTAATATATGGTTCTCAGATTTTACTAAGACGTTCTGTGATTTTGTGGTCACATACATCAGGCTGTCCCCACTTATGTTCTCGTTCACTACAACATGGGTTTTACAGTTTGGATAATATAGAATGATCTGCAGTACTTGTCTGGTCTTACTGTATTTCAGAATAATAGTCTAGGTAGAAGGATTAGAATATCTTAAGGGGTATCGATCGCTTATTATAAATAGTGGCTGCATAAGTTGACTCATTGGACTGGACCATGTTAATAGGTGTAGACTACCTGGATGGGTTCCATATGATTATCGTAGCCAATGGTTAGACTTTGAATGACATGTATCAAAACCGTTTGCGTTGGCGCAGGTACATACGTTCTTTGTCTTCCCCCAAGTTCTGAGCTTCTGAATTCCTAAGACCATTTTTGTTTTCATTCCGTTAATTTATATTTTCTTAAATCGAGTCATTTCTGTCATCACTCATACTAATATCACCTCAGCTATTCTGGAATTCGGCCTGACAATTTCATCTCTCTGTGCTAATGGAGTATGTACACACATACCAGGTTCAATGTTGCGACTGACTGACTCACTCATAGTTGGTAAGACATACTGAGAGAAGAAAAACAAAACAACTGGTAGGAAGTAGTAAACGAAGTTGAATTTTTTCTTAAAAACCGAAACAATACTTACTTTGAAACTTGTTGGATCATAGCGGTGAGGTGTTAACAATAATAAACCACTAGCCTCTCTCATTGATTGTTGTATATCTAAAGAGTGAGTAGATTTTTCAGCTTCTTCGACTACTTGTGGCGGAAGTACATTTTTCCTTCGTAAAAATATTGTCAATAAAGGGGGAGCTTGAGCAACGCAGCTAACTGGAACATCCGGAGCGACCAAATCAGTTTCTGATGACATAGACGTTAGACGTTCAGCTTCACTAGGTGATAGTAGACGCCAATCTGGTTCATGTGTATTCGGTAGGAGACAATAGCCAAGATTTCGACCACGGAATACACGTATACCCCATGCTCTACATCTAACATCCGACTTCAGATAAATGATAAAATAGAAAATTCAGCAGCAAAAGTAAACTCGCGAACGTAAACACATTCGATTAGATCATTTAGCATGAGTATATTCCAGTTACTTGAAGTAGTAAGTTATTTATAAAAGGTGATAAGTAAAACATTTCAGTAAAAATACATGCAGTAGACCAAATTAAGTTTTATCTACACCAATAATGACAACATCAATCACTCAACTGTGATGTGAAATATCTCACCAAGTTCAATGAAATTAACATGAAGAATATTTTCTATTCCATAGACTCGTACATAGTGGTGTATTCTGCAAACAACTCCCAGTATTAGTCTGTGTTTGAATCAACAATGAACTATATATTACAGAGCCATTTTTCCTATGTATGACGAATGACCTTGAAGGTCATTATTATTATAGATCTATAAAAACATATCTTCCTGGCAAAATGACCATCAAATATCCTTTGAAAAATTGCTAAACTAGGAAGTCGCCAAAATGACTATTTAGAAGAAGTTTGAAAGAGCTAGGCTTACGTTTACACTCTATAATGGATACCTAGTTGACAAATAAATATGTCGAAACTAATACAAATACTCGTTCCTAGAGCCCAGAAATGATGTAATTAAGCAGATAAGTGTAAATTTCCGAAGAGATGGAGTAGTTGATGTAACTAATTTCCCATAACTATACTGAACACAGACAGAAATCAGTTTTACAAAAGTTGACTGAGAATCCTATAAATCACCACATTCGTGTTCTGAGTCCCAAAGAGACTGAATTTGTATGCTGACTGAACTTTTACTAGCAAGTAAAGGTGGGGATTTTGACTTAATATAAACTATTTGACGACTAGTGTAGGAATCAAAGTAAAGCACATTCATCGCTCTGTACGTCAGTATCCTATAATATAAAAGACAATGAATGATGGACTCGAGTTTCTCGTCTTAAATAAAATTAATTCGAATAAGGTCTAATAGAATATGAAGGCGTTCATGAAACGCTTCGACAAAAGTTGACTTAAAAAAAAACGAAAAATAACAAGCTCTGTTTTTCGACTTAGACTGTTCGCTCTTCTATGCATAAACACACATCAATGACCGAAAATATAACCGTTCTTTGGAACGTCATATATTCACTTTCAAAGTTTGAGACTTCAATACTATTAAGTAGTTTACTGAAGCTTTAGTTTGACGGTCAAAATATCTGGCTACCATATATCAGAAAAAAATTTTTATTGACTTCACCTGTTTTAACTTAAGCAAGTAAGTGATATGCTTCCGAATGCCCTGGTACAGCCAATAGTGGGAAGAGTCCGCTCTCCATCTCGAAATGCTCTCACATGGTCACGCGTATATAGCCTCTGCCAGGGAAGTCCTACTCACTAACTTCTCGTGGCGGGGGTGTTGTTTACGAAATTGAGAGTACAAAAAGCAAATGTTCGGCGCTTTACCCGGGTTGGTGGGCGTAGAGAGTCCACCTAGGGGAGTTGGAAAACCCTGATTCCAAACCAATGGTGCACATGGTCCCGAGTATCTTGAGGGGACAAATGGCGTATAAACCGATCGTTGGTCACCGGCTACCATGGAACTACATCTCCTTAAGATGCTTCACTGCCTTGTGAATCAGACTTTTAGGTCGGAGGCTCCGGATGTGACCCCCTAAGAAAACCGCCTGTTTCGGTTTGGGCACCCGGGCAGTATCACAGCCTTCACACAAGCCAAATGTGGTTTGTGCGGCGCATATGTGTCTGTAGCCCTCTTGTACCAGTATTTATGTGTTCAAATAAATAAATGAATAAAATAAGCACGTGATATTAATATACGTATATCTCTATTGATGACGATCATTACTTGTCAGCTGGTTCCTCAATTAGATTTACGTTAGTTACATTACAAACCTGTAAAAAATGTAAACGATCGGATTAAAACTACCAGAGACCTTAGATTTGAAGAACTGAAATATGCAGTTTGCATAGACAGAAATATATTATTGAAAATATGACTAACTTTATCGGACATAAGTGGAACAACATTTTTTAAAATGTAATAGCATGGCTCCTTGAATTTTACTGTTTCAGTTTCCTTTATTACTACTCTACCTTTGGCGCGATTTTTAAGGTTTTTGGCTATTTCTGACAGGAGCTTGCCGTAGAAGTGTAAAGATGGACGACCAATATACTCAATTTTCGGCATAACAAATCTTATTGGGATGAATAATTGGTTTTAGAGGAAATCGAACTAGCTTTTTAGATCGCGTGTCCAACAAAGTTTTTCATCTAGATTGAGACAGAAAAACGGGTAAACAAAAAGAGAGAACTGTAAATTTGGCAAAAACACCGTAGTATATTTACGTTAACTGCACCACGACAATCCAAAATGTTACAATGTTGTCCGGTGAAAAGTATATTGGGGGAGATTTCTTTGTAGAAGACGCTAGATGCATGGAAGGATGTTATGTATATGTTCATGAAATACCCTGTATCTGTTGCAATAGAATGATGAAGCGGGAATACGAACATTAGAGAAGCTTTTTCAGAAAATGGAGATTTACGTACCAATGTGGTCCCAAAATTAAAAGCAAAAGGGAAGTTAGTATGAGATGAAGGCACACTAAATTCATTTTAATCAACTTAGAGCCTGACAAAAAGAAAAATTAACCGATTCTTTCTTCCTGTGCTATGCAATCTTTCTTTTATATATTACCACCACTGAATTGACTACTATGAATCCCGTATTCATCTCGCTGTGCCAATGAGGCATGGCAACATGGAAAGATGCATATATGTGCCTGGTCCTACGTTGTAGCGGACATTAATCTAGACTATCACATCATATTAATGTGAGGTGAATTAACATGGCAAATAGTAAAGGGGTTGAAATATTGGTGTTATTAGTAATGATAAGATTACATATTGAACATAAAATGCATGATCCGAAAAAGTTAGTAATGCTTGTCATTTCATGAGCAACGAATGAATAACTCAAGAAATAGGCTGTCATTCCTTTCGACGTAACCTACCACTACACACAGTCCTATTTTCACTAGAAAAATACTTGTTGGGGCTAGCATAAAACCCGATAACCGAGTTTCTCAGCATTGTAAGTTTAAATGAAAGAGGACAAAGTTAGAAATATCCAAAGGATTTGGATATTTCACCGGTCTTGTATAGACAAAAAAAGATAATCAACGCATTTTTTCATAAACGATATGTCAGTTGTGCCTTAATTAACTATTTAAAGAGATTTCAAGACACAGAATACTTTATACCATATGATGAGACCAGTTTGTCACTGGAAACACTGGAAGGCCGGGGTCATACATATTTTGTGGAAGACTTGACACCGATTGACAATATAGATGATGTTCGGGCATACAATGCTCAGAATGGCGAGGGATCAGAACGAAGAGAACGTATATGCCCGTCACTTTGATGATCAAAAGAACATGACACTAGTCAGAATTTCAAATCACTTTCATAACTTTTTAAGAGCGCTAGACGTGCAACTGAATTATAGGTTTAGAGGATGAACCTTATGGGAAAAATAATAATCACCTGAAACTATTCTCAATAGAGCACAGAAGAGTGAGAGGTAACTTAATAATCATGTGTATCATTTAGTGGTCCGATACACCATAGTAAAGTAATCCTCGCTGAATTATATCGCAGCCTTGCATAACATCAACAAAGTTATCTATCGCAGGACAAACACTTACTTTATCGAAAATATCTATCTAGGATGCTTTCTCAAACAATGTGACCACAGCTTCCTCAGTAGATACTCAAAAAGAGACCGAACAATCTCGTATGAAACCATATATCATCCTCTTAAGCTTGTTATGGGAGTTGAAAACGTAAATTAAAATGAGAAAACCAGTTTCCCACTCATTCGTCTCACCCACATAAATCCCCGGCAATATTTCGTTGTGGTGTTTTTTTAATTTAGACTTATCTGATGTACGTTATTTACACCTACCTGCTTTTTTATACTGTCATCTATGTAACTATTTTCCCATATTTACTTGTTTATTCATTTCCGAATTTTCCCAATCTTCCTATGATGGAAAAACCCCCGAAGCTTTTCGAAATTTCCCTGGTCCGTGCAAAATGTTCGGTATCCGCGCTGTTTTACAAGAATTTTTTATAGAATCTTCCACAAAATCAAGAGATTGGGTTGCATTTTTATACAACTTCACTTAATTTAGAACAGCTCATCACAAACATACAAAGACGAATACAGATCATTCATGCATTATAACTGATGTCAGATTTCTCAACAAAAAAAAATCTAACTAAATTTTCATCTAAACCGCTAACTGAAATTAATAACTCCATACTGAGAACCTTAAGTGGATTTAAGTTTATTATCACTAATGATGTTCCTGACCTCAAAAACCGAGTTACCAGCTTTACTAACACCTAACATCAACCCTTACTCAGTTATTTTACACATACACTCAGTTTAGGGACGAAGACATACAACTCACATATGACCTCGACTTTCAAATGCCACACTGATATACCGTCAACTAAAACTAATGACCAAAATGCAGTAACTTTCATCTTATTAAACAAATAAATTTTGTGTACGTGTCCAATTTTGCTCATCTGTTATCTTTAAGTGCCAAAATCGTTTTAGCAACTGTTCAGATTCATGTGCTAACGGTAGAATTTATTGTTTTCCCCATCCTTACTAGCCAGATAAAAGGCGTGTTTAATTTGTTTAGCTTTTTCATCAATGTATTGTTTCTACTGCGGTCTTCGATATTATGATTTGATCAAATTTGATTACCTGTTCCACGTTCATAGTGTCTGTATTGTTTCGTTGAGCTGGGCAACACTTTCCTTGCAATTTTATGTGCTGTTATGGATATCGGCTACCTGTGTCGTTTTTCTGGGTCTTCGTATTTATATTTATTTTGATCAGTTGTCTTGAAAGTTGGCTTTTGATCTGTTGTATGTTAGCAAGTTGTTATGTTGTTAAATGTTAGTAACAGCCCTATAATTCGCTGGTGGATGTGAGATTGTTTTAGTTCAAGCCACTTAAGTTCACACAAAGTGATAAATAGTAGCAACAAAAACTATCTTAGGTATTTTTTAGTGTTTTTTGACAGTAAAAAGAGTCAATATAGTCAAATTTTCTTGGATTTGTTTAACCATGTTCGATTAACACATTGGTGTTCGAGAAATTCCGACCACATGTTTTCATCTTTATTGTCTTTTAGATCGGTTAGTTAAATGTCCGCAATTATGTAACCACTCGTTATTTTGCTACTCGATTTATACTTCTAGAACATCGACTCGAACTCTGTTCTACCGTACAAATGTAAAGATTTCCGCACATATATTTTGGAAAAGTGGGAAACTTTGATGCACATACGAGATGTCATGACTAAACTACCAAAAAGCTCCACTTATCAATCACTTGAAATCTTAAAAACAAAACGATCTAAATGGGTTTGTACAAGTCTCATTATTGAAGTGGGTCTGTAACATGCAGTAGATAAAATAGTCAGTCATTGCTTTGTGTCTCTAATCATAACTTTTACTTCATACTCCAAAGTATTTTCGTAGGTAGGCAGTAAATAATCAGGATCTAAGTATTCTGTAGAAATGGCTAGCATCAAAATTTTATAAATAAATAAACAGAGACTCATATTTTCCAGAATTCTACTCAACTTATATATTCATTTCATCAACCACAAAATTGTTTTTTAGATTAAACACTAATTTTCCCGTTAAGTGTTTCCCTCTGTCACATGACAGTGAGTGTCGAACATATATACACTGCCATCCATACATTTTTAGATTATTCAGCTTCCATTCAGATACTAAAAAAATAATCGTTATACACATGTACAGATATCATTTGTGTCCATATCACTGAAATACTTCATATGTATGTCGCTTCAGATTATAATCCGTGTATAAAAATATTAGTTACCTATTATAACTATAGATTTCATGACTCAAAAAACCTAACACTCTGCTCCCAAAGATCAAAGTAATGTTCAGGATTTCACCTGTGTATTTATGTATTTTGATATTATTGGTTAATTCCACAATTTCTCGCGAAACTTCTATCTTTATTTTGATACTAGCATTTAGAATTCGCCACAATTAATTCTTGAACCAGCGCCTAATTAAGTCTGTATGTCTGATTATAAAATCGTCACATCGATATATATTTATTTTTATCTTCATAATCGTCAATATTTTTATTCATATACAACTGATTCCTAAAATGGTATTACACACATCTAAAATTTATCTATTAGGTGTTCCGTTGGTTTGCCACAAATGTCTGACCCGACACTCCCTGCTATTAATGCAGGATATAGAACAAGAAACCTAATAATCTGGTTTATTTAAACAAAGCCTCGGTTTTAGAAATGTTACTCCTCTGTCAACCAACCAAATACTCACAAGTTTTAGGTGCGCTTATGACTGAAATGTCGCAGAATTTTAGGACAAAATCGACTTAAAGACGCCCTGTACCATATACTTCAAGAAGCCGTAATTCAGTGTATGTCGGTCTCTGATATGAAGAGACAACAACAATTACTAGCCTCACGCGTTCTGAAAACAAGGAATCATCACGAACTCTACGACTTATGAAACAACTGGTGGGGTCGTGAAATTTAGAAGATGAAGTATCATAGCAAACGTGAAATGTATGTGCTGATAATTGTCCATCGTTTTATCTATAGAACAGACCATTCTGATGGTTGCAGTCAGTCTTTACTCAGATCGATGAACGGAGCAGTTGGACAGCGAGGCTCTCTTTTCAAACACATTCGACAGCATTCAGTATGGAATAATAAGCAATATAATCCCTACGTGAAACAAGTAAGTGATTAACTACAAGACCTACAACTTCTTTATGGTACTAAGATGTTTTCGGTAAAAACTTGGCGACTCAACCCAAGTTTTTACACCGCTAACGGTAAACTAAACGACGGTATACCCAGACCTCTGTAGTATAAACCAAAACCAGAATAACTAATCACATGGGACCAACATTTAGTTTTCATTTACACTTCTCCTAATCTTCGGTGTTGTATCACGTCCTCAATACTCGTTAATTCAATCAAGAAATAAAGAATACCGACTATAGAGTGAATAAGAATACGAGTGGGGGCAATTGAATGTATTTGGACACGAAATTATAGAGTATCTCATTAAGATCTGAGAACCATACAGTAAATACTTAATTTGCAAAATATCGACCCACAGTATCAAACTTTGCTGTTCCTTTTGCAAATATCAGTCCACGGTCTCATATTTCATTATTCCTGCATTTCAATACCGTCTCGTTCTTTCCTTCTCTATCTTTTACTTAAATACATTCTATTCCTGACTGCCGTTATATAATACTTATGTGGATATAACTAGCTCACATCACACTGTTAATAAACAGCTACGAAAGACATAATCAAATAGACCATATGACGGATCCTAGAGTCCTTACCATGAAAATCAGAAACCAAATTCGCAAAGTGTGAGTGTCGTTAAGTTATGAACTTCAATAATACATATCCAATTAAAGGAACTCTATGGATTAACTTTGTGCTATGAACAATTACCTTCAAAGGAAAAAAATGAGTATTTCGAAACTGGAGGCTACTGTAATTCCAGGATAGATACACTCATTAGAACGCCAAAAACTAAAAAACATGGTCTTGAAGTAAATCTGCAAAGCTTTACTCGTAGATTACTATGGCTCTCATTCAGCTAAAGTAACGCCATTCCGGCCTTCTATAGACGTTTCCAGTTGAGCACATACAAACATAGCAGATTAAAAATGTAAAAATAATAAATGTAATGGTTTCCGCCTCACTTTTAAATCTAACGAAGCTCTAAATTACAAAACGTATCATACATTTGAACAAGAAAATTATAGGAATTTTCAGGTACAATATACTTAAATAACAACAATGAGCATGATTTCAGTCCTCCCTTCGATGTAGATGGCCTAGGCAGCGAAAGTAAATTGGATCCATGTCGAATTTTGTTAGACACTGAGTAATCAATTCCGATAAAAGAAAAAAAGTATGTGGGCAGGGCAACTAGAATTGACGGACCATTTTTTAGCTTATGAACTAATCTTTCAGCACAACATATATAAGCGAAAAAAATTGTTTTCGATTAGATCCTCATCAGGCTTTATCGTAATGTGCAGTAATATATATATGCATATATGAAACTACTAAAACAATCATGGTAGTTTATTAGTCAATGATAACAATGAAAACGATTACATAATAAGTGAAAAGTACAAATTGACACCTTAATGACAGGTGTATATACTTTAGTACAGCTTTCAGTATAATTAATGCACGTCGAATATTAATGAGTCTTATACAAATGCAGAACAACCAGATACATAGATTATTATTGTTATATAAATTTGGGAATGATTACATGCAATTACGAAACACACGAAATATTCGCAGTAAAATGGATCCTTCTGTAGTGGCTTGTGTTGAATTTTCTAAGCCCCCTAATCGCTTCCATGACCAATTTTACCTTGGCATCAAAGACACTTTAAATGTCGTTAGATATCCTAAAATTTCAATCGAAGAATATTCATGCCAACGGAGAGTCAAAATGAAAATGTGGATGTATCAAGTGCTAGATCTTATAGCGATAAAGTTTACGTGACAAGTTCATCATTTGGTTTTTGCATCAGTTTTCTTCGTTCAAAATAAACTTGAAAAAACACTCTGTGATTGGCTCACTATATATCGATGGAGCATGTGAATCAGTTTTGTTGATATTTCAAGCTAATTTTACGCAGTACTTCAAATGACCATGGCAAAAACCATATTTCTCTAATTATTTTATTTCGTTAACTCTCTAGCGAAATAACCAATAAACGTTCAGTGGGCTTTGTTGCGTTTTCCGCCGAACTATGTATGGGTGTTGCAAAGATTCTGGGAGATGGCTCGGTGAGACTATAATTTCTGGATGAACTTTGAGTGACATAAAAGTCTTTCCGAAATCTTTTATGTGAACAATTTCACTATCAGTGCAACGACCGAAATGCCGTGACCTTTGACTTGGTCAAACACGACCTTATTGTTAATAGTCCGGCAGTACGCAACAGAAAAATGAGGTAACAAAAGGTACGTCTTTATTCAGTCACATAAGTAAAACTCAGACGATAAAGACAGAAGAACATAGAATGTGGTTAAAAGAGATCTGAATAAAGGTTAAAATACACGACAGGGAAAAGGAACAAATAAATGACAGAACTGTCCGATAAAATGCTGTGGAGGGATTTTCAGCGTTTTCTTTCTGCTGCAATCAAATTATGGAGCTTATGTAGAGATATCTCTCTGGTATTAAGATCAGACACTTTATAATAAGTCCGGAAAATAAATAAACCTATCCTTTGAAAAAAGTGAGGAATGAGATGCTTTGGAATTCATGCATCAAACATATGATTGAATAAGAAATAATTATAGCATTTCAACTGAAGGTTACATATCTATTTTAAATAAGTATCGGACATTAGCTATTGAAAAAATGTACATAGTGCATTTTCGAAACAATCTCAGTTTTCATTTATGTTAAATAGAAATTTATTTCGGTGCTGAACAGTAGATGCTGAAGATGTTTTCCTGAAAAAAAATTTGTAGCAACGAAGGAAAGTAATATCATCATGGACAAAATCACACTGTTACTTTTAAAATGAGAGTGAGGACCGGTTAGTGACAAGCTAGTGCTTGAAATTAATCGCCTGTCAAGACGTATCAATGACGAATTCACTGATTAAATCGTAAGTTTATAATCTCATGTTGACGCTCTAATGATGTTGCATAACCCCCACAGGTCGATAAAGCCGTCTGACAATAAATGAAAATGAAATACTAATGCTTACAGTCTATGAGATCCAACCATTAGAGGAAAATGTCTATTATTTGAACACAGCTTATATGGTCAGTTGGTGAACTTCACTTGAAGTGATAAAACATCCACAGATTAGTCATCGGTTACTTTCACCCATTGTTATAGAATCTCTGATTGATCTGTATGTAAAAATCAGGTGATATAACCTACTGTTAGGCAGAAAGAATTAGAAGATAAGCTAAGCTTTATTTCCCTATGTAGGCGTTTCGTTTTTTTGCTGCTCGACTAAATGATGAACAACTTCAATGTGTCCTTTAAAGCTAAATTATTCGTTCCAGTAACTCTGGAGAGTTCTGAAAACGTACATAGATATACATACAGTCGATTATTTCTACTTACTCTTCACAGGGATGGGTTGTAAATTTTACGAATCCATGGTACAGAAACCTTTAAGAGTCGAAAAGAATGTGTGCACGCGCCACTTTTGCATCCCACTAGGAAGTTTGTTTCACTGCAGAAAAATTTCGTACGCATGACGATACCTTGGATTGGTCTCAGAGACCCAGTACACTTAGATCAAAAAACCACTGCTCTAAGTGTCGGAAAAAGCTATCGTAGATTCCTTTCTGTCCCTAATATTTATAACTTCACAGAAAATCCTAATGTTTCGGTAAACTTTTATGCTGACAATATAATACTATCTAGAAACATTAAAAACGGAAAAGGCTTATCGGAGATCTCAAAAAGCCCTAAAATATGGAGCGGCCTCATGCAAACCAACCATACAGATTGTAACGGAAAGAGAACGATGAAAATCCTTCCACAGCCTTTTTTGTTGGACAGTTTTTTTATTTATTTGTTTCTTCTCCCTGTCATATATTTTAACTTTGTTAAGATCTCGTTTGAGCTTTTATTATGTGATTTTGGTTAAAAACTTATCTTTTTCTTACCTAATTTTTTATTGCATGTTGCCGGACTATTGACAGTGAGGTCGTGTTTGACTAAGCTCAAGGTCACGGCGTAATTCAGTGTGACTGTTAACCTTTTGACTGTCTGCGTGGGAGGATTTCTGGAATCCTTGCAGATCATGTTTGTTGGGAATATATTTGTTAATTCTCAGGTATCGAATTCCTTGGTATTGGCTGTTTCTTTTATTGTTTAGCGCACTACATCGCGTTAGAGAAACTTCTGACTGTATAGCACAGGCTGTACCGTTTGAATTATTTTGTATTTTTGATATAATTTGTTCTATTTCTTAAATTAGAACCGTATAAATTGAGCACAGAGTTTTTGTTTTGATATAATTTAATACGAGTGTCTCAAAAACGCTTGGCGAGCTATACCGAAGATTGTAGTCTGACCTACTCGAATACATTTTTGGTTCGTCAGTCCTGCGTTCAAACCGAATACTGGCAGTTTGGTCGTTACACAGATATCAACCTTTAGAAATTTTAACTAATGTTCTTTAGCAAGCTTGCGGGTTGGGGGACAGCTTACCTTCTGTTCAGCGATGACTTACACAATACCCTTAAAGTGTGCCATTACGAGTATCTGACAAGTCGACTTGAACAGATTGACGGCTACGTCTAGCATACTAGTTGTTACGTTCAAGTTTTTGCTCGTTCTTTTTATTGAAATACAGTATATCGATTTATTTGCAATGTACGAACCCAAATTAACAATGGAACTAAACTCTAATTTAAGTATCAAAGTTTATTCGCAATTTACAAATTGTCGACTGAAATGTCGTTCTTTAATTTTGTAGGTTCCTGGGGCAAAAACTCCTAAATACTAATCCAAAGAGAAACCACAATGTCCGAAAATAGTGATATAAACAAACAAGTCCAGAACTTGAGTAAAACAAGTTTATCCAAAAACACAGTGAAATTAAGGACATTTAATATAAAGGTTTTAATCAGCCAAATGTCTTCAGTTCTTCCGTAACACTAGTCCTGTGGTCTAACATTTACTATTATTATTGACATTTGTTTTCATTTAAATATCTCTGCCCTACTTTGCCGTCTTGTCCTTTTTTAATAATTACCATTCTTCGAAATCTCCTGTAAAACCTTGGTATGAATGTATGGACGACTGTTTGACGATGACGCTGATAACCGATGAACAATACTCTCGGACATTTAATCTACAACTGCACAGGGCTTTACGAAGTGAACGTAAGGGCTTAATTGGTGTACCGGAAACCACAGCACCTAGGAAAAGACATTTCTCTAGGGCCGGATATGGTTCATTCTGCTATATTGAAGGACGCAACTTCAATCCTGGCAACATCTCCTAGCGTGATGTTCTCACACTCGCTAAGCCGAGACAAGCTACCGAAAATTTGGAAGCTGATTCACATCACACCAATTTTCATAGGGGGTTGACACAGCGAATCTTACCGACCGGTGGCTCTTCTCTCTATACCTTAAAAAATCATGGAGTCCCTGATATGCGATGGTATGCATGATTATTTAATGTCCTTAAACTTCTCGCCCTAATAGCATGGTTTCAGGAAGGGTCATTCTTGTATAACCAACCTGCTGACTTCAGTGGACAGATGGACAACAATCCTTGGTCGCAAGGGGAAGGTTGACGTCATTTACCTTGACTTTTCAAAAGGTTTTGATAGGGTCAACAATATATATGGCTTACAGTATCCCTAACACTTCTGGACATCCTCTTGAACACCTACTTAAGCTTAGTCCCAATACAAACCTAGGGGGTAACACCCAGAAATTGGAGATAAAACATAGCAGAACGGACTGTAGACGTAACTTCTACCCCTTAAGATTTATCAAGTGCTGGAATTCGCTACCGGCCGAGCCAGTTCAAGCGACTTTCCAGGAGTCCTTTAAGAGGCAACGACCTATTATTAAGGACTAAGGATAATATCTTACTATGATCTACCAATGTTTTCCACTATTATTGTTAATATACCTAGATTCCTGCCTGAAGGTAATTGCGATCCACTGCTACTAGACAAGGAAGCTCGTTAATCGAAAGCTTCTTTTATTCCGTCCACAACCATGTACCATTTAAGGTGTAGCGTGGTGTCGAGTTGAGCTTGACTATGAACACCGCTACAAGACTACGTGCCACTTAACCAATAAGATCCCCGTAGGCCAATATCAGAAGACAGATGATGGCTGTAGTCGAGATGTATTTGTTGGCGATCTCGTGGTATCGAAAGAATACTGAGATCGTGCCAAAGGAGTACAAGCGTGGTTACTGAGCTTAACCGGATTCGTACAAGTTCAAAGTCAACGAGAGAGTAAGTAAGTGTAATGGCTGTCATTAGCACAGTTAAACAAACGAGCACATTAAAACAGTCACTGGTACAATTGGTTATAATAATAATTGTTTTCATTGAACCAATCGCGTTCTGTTGACAAAAGTAGGTCACTACTTTGGTATTGGATATTGTAAACATTCTCTAGGTCATCCTTAAGGTCAAATGTAAGGTTGGCTTGATTTTTGTACAATTGACTAGTTGGGTCCTCTACAGGAATACGTGGCACGTCGATAGTTACTTGTATCGTTCGTGTATCAAGTTAATCTTACTACTAAAAACTGACTTCAACAACACACTTATCACTTCAGTGTTAACGTGGTCTAAATTAGTGGTTACATTATTACACCATCATTATCATAGAAAAGAGTTGTTTTATGACCATAACATTACTAGGCTTAAATATTCTCTCGTATCCAAATGTAGGACACCTAATTTGGACGTTATACGACTTACTACGTGTAGGAGACTGAAAAATAACCTCTGAAATAATTACGTAGATTTAGAAAAGGTGTTTTGATGATAGACCTGTATTTCAGTGGTTTCAGAAAGGGTGTTTGTTATTAATAGCCAGCAATCGGTTTCAATACTACCCAAACTTACCAGGCACAAAAAAATAAACCTTTAATCGTTATGGAACATTTAGTTTGTAAGATTACTGGTTATTTTTGGTATCATGTTTTATAATATGACTATCCCCAAAAAATTCTGGTATTTTCTAAAACTGTTGATCGAAATTGCTTCCAGGACGAAGTTGCTACAATCCCATAATGTTAGGAGGCTCAAGTAGCAGTTGCAATAACGAAATCACTCCTCAGCGACCCGTTGGTCCAGATTCAGAATCCGTCGATCTTCTATGTGGCATTAAAAAACCTGTTATACAGTGAGTAAACTTTGCGGCATTTTATTCAAGACGAGTCGTTTATCTATTTGAACTAAAGTTTATCCCATAACTAACAATTAATATTATTTCCGTCATATTAACTATATTGTCCTCAATATAAGTCTACTTTATCCTTGAAACTTGGTTCTCCTTGTCTTTATGATGTATCTAAAAGTCTCTCTGTCAACGAAATACAACTGGTAAATCTTAATTCTGTGGTTATCGGGAATAATCTCATAACCGCTTACGTAAGCCTTATCTTTTATTCAGTTCACTTCAACACATAAACAACTGTCATGCAACCCGTAGAGGTAACACCAGTTTAGTTCGGTTTTCAATCAAAAGACTATGTGACCCTATGCACATTGTTATATCCGGACGAAGAATAAGTGAATGGTAACTGCTAGGATTTATTCATGGATTTTTATTATGTATATTCTTATTGTATAACTACTCAGTAACCATTTTTCATATATTTATATTCCTTTAATTATAAGCTTTCATTTAACTTATTCAGTACTATTATACGATTTATTATTCTCAATTTATTAGCCACAGTCACTTTTTGGTCTGATCTTGTATAATTCTTATTTTATGTTTTATAGTATTATTATTCGAACACATATTGGTACAAGGGGGCACCAGATAAATATGCGCCACACAAATCCCATTTGGTTTGTGTGAGGGCTGTGATACTGCCCGGGTGCCCAAACCGAAACAGGCGGTTTTCTTAGGGGGTCACATCCGGAGCCTCCGACCTAAAAGTCTGATTCACAAGGCAGTGGAGCATCGTAAGGAGATGTAGTTCCATAGTAGCCGGTGACCAACGATCGGTTTATACGCCATTTGTCCCCTCAAGTTACTCGGGACCATGTGCACCATTGGTTTGGAATCAGGGTTTTCCAACTCCCCTAGGTGGACTCTCTACGCCCACCAACCCGGGTAAAGCGCCGAACATTTGCTTTTTGTACTCTCAATTTCGTAAACAACACCCCCGCCACGAGAAGTTAGTGAGTAGGACTTCCCTGGCAGAGGCTATATACGCGTGACCATGTGAGAGCATTTCGAGATGGAGAGCGGACTCTTCCCACTATTGGCCGTACCAGGGCATTTGGGGTCTCGTGTATAAACTGCGTGTCTGAAGTATATTATTCATACAGTAACAGCTGTGTTCCGGACTCAAACAGGCAGGGTTAGGCGGAAGAACCATTCAGAGTTGGCTCTGGGTTGCTCGTGCTGGTTAACGCGTCATTGGTTTGTTACAGCATCTAGATCATAAACTTGTTGTTTTAATTGGAGTTTTTATCACGTGTTAAGTCAACAGAGTGTAGGAACATAACACACAATTATTTGTAGTATTATCTCGTCTGGTTGTACGGATGGTTGTTTGCTAAACAAGCATTAGTAAAACAGTTTAGAGGTGGATTTTTATTTTAAGTCCTTCCGTGCGTATGAAATAACTAGCCAATTTATCAGGTACTGGCTTCTTTATTTAGCTACATGTCACATTGTGCAAAAGTTGGGGATCCCACCTAGCTTCCCAAAATGAAGTATAATGGTGTTCGAAATTCTGAACTACAGATTGAAATCTTATTGCTGTGACTAGGAAGCCACTGCTACAGTCTTGTGTGAATTTAATTAAAATGAGGTTATTCGAAATAAGTTAAGTCCACACCATTTAGTTGTAACCTTTGTGTTACCAACCAAATGTAGGTACCTAGCTTAAAGCCTCCTCAAGGTCAATGGGTTAGTGATTAATGCACTCGGTTTTCAACCAACAGGCCACAAGTTGAAACTTTACTGTTGTTTAAACATCCAGAATGTATGATTTGTCCCCAAATAAAAAGTATGGCTCAAAGCTGAGGACCTGTACTAGGTAAATAACCTACTCTTAGAACCACCCACGTCTTTATTTACGTTTTTTGGTCGTATATAAACATTTTTTTCTATACTCATCCTTTTGTACCATTACTAATACTGTTAATACTTCCACTACACTAAAATTAGTTTTGGTAATCTCGCTGTACCGTGACATGGCAACAAACCGATAGATATATGCCAGGCTTTACGTTGCGTATGACTGATTATTCCAAAGTATCGTACAGTAAGCAGTTTACTACTCATTATATCAAGGGTGTATAAGTTTTGAGTTGGGTTTCTCTGTAATGCTTTTTATTTGCCATCAACTAGACTCGTTTTTGTAACTTCGCATTATGTCAAATTAACTCGATTTATTATCTTGTTCTTATACCACTTGTTAGCAATATGGTTTCTACTGTGGATTTAGGATGTCCTATTGAATTACGTAAATTGGTACTTCATGTCCGTAGTGCGGAATACAATCCACGCAGATTTCCTGGCGTTGTCATGCGTCTGCGTGAACCTCGTGTCACTTGTTTAGTGTTTGGAACAGGTCGCATGGTGTGTACTGGAGCACGTTCTGAATCAGATGCAAATTTAGGTTCTCGGAAATGTGCTCGCATACTGCAAAGACTTGGGTTTGATGTAAGTTCATTAAATGCCAAGTTTCGTTGATTGTGTAAATAAGACCGTTATGTGTGATGTAATAATTACGTTTTACTCTTCATTTGTATTGAGGTATATAATATAGAGCATATATTTATCAAGATAACTGTACGTTGTAGACGCGCTAAAGCTAGTTCATGAGGCTATCCGCTTTGAAAATCTGGTTTGCCTAAAGGTCATTTTAAAATTCTGTAGAAAATGAGAGTTACTGGACGAATGCTCTACCGTGAAATAACTTTATAATGGAAATTTATAACAGGTGCACATAAATTATCTGTGCTATGTACTGAAATTTTACTGGTTCCACCTCTAAAATCTGTCTACTTATCCCTAAGATGAGGATATATAGTCTTAGTGTCCTGCGCTACATTGCATGACTGTAAAATAAAACTGTTAGATGCAGGTCACAGATGTATTTTTAATTTTAACATCTGGACCATTTACACTGAGTGGAAAACTTGATACATAGTGCTTGGTAGAAGTAGAGAGATCACTCACTAATCGCTGTCAATCGAGGTGATTAGGTAATTTGGTACGAGTGATTAAGTTAGTTGTGTTATCTACGACTACATTGCTAGCCCAGTTTTGACATCCTGTTGGTCATCTTCAGCCTTTGATAGTTACAAAAGTCCAATCCTATGTTTCTATATGCTAGGTTATAACCTATTAATGTTAATGATGTATAAAACTAGATCTTTATGCTCCCACCAGTACAACTTGGAATTACCGACTAAGCGTTGATTGTTAAGTCTAATAATCTATATTAACCTGTTGCTGAGGTAATTCACGTTTAACATTTCTCTACATACCAGTTTGTATATTTCTTGGACATCGGCGTACAAATCAGTAAGTAACTATCAGTCATTCAATCGGTTTTTAATCTAGGTAAAATTCATGAACTTTACTATTCAAAATATGGTTGGTCTGGCTGATCTGAGATTTCCGATACGTCTGGAAGGTGTACAGTTGGCCAACGAACAGATGACACAGTTAGTTTCAATAGGAATATTTATTTTTAATGAGTTTTTACTATTCAGTAATCTGTTGTTTGTTGTATTTCAATTAACTACTTATCCGTTATTTCCTAATTGGGAACATTATTTGGTTCTAAAAGAACGCTTTACTTGTTATAATGATTATAACTTGATTTCCCACTTGAAGACTCTCATTGACTTAAAATGAAAAAATATTTATATTTGGTAAAGAAGCATACAAAATTCAGTTTTCTGAATACCTGGATTGACAAAAAAGTAGTATTTGGAATATACTTCTCACTTAGATGTAAAATGTTGATTTATAGTCACTCTACATCGATATCTGGTTTGGCATTATGAAATGAAGTAGTTGAACGCTTCAACTGCCTCATTTATCTTGGGACCCTCATTAACTGGAGTATAGGTAAAAAGATTAATTACTCCCAGCCAAAGACCATTTTAGAACAAATGATACATTTGTCTGTTGGAGGGCGTCCACTACACAGGATTTTGTCTTGTTATACTTTACGCTCCAGAGACATGACCTAAATGAGGTATTTATTAAATAAGGGAGTTCAATTGATGAAGCCATAAATTCTCATTAACTAAGGTTGGTGATAAACGGGCCTAACTATTTTGTCTAAAATAGAAGCAGATTGACAGGAGCCTAGATGTAACCAAACCTGTACAGCATCTGTTGATAAAGTCATCCACTGCCGATGTCGTACGGGGCAATGCAGTTCATTTATTTATTTGAACACATATATATTGGTACAAGAGGGCACCAAATATATGTGAGCCGCACAAAAAAATGAGAATGGGAAGAGAAAGAAGGAAGGTAGGGAGCGTAAAAGAAGAACGATAACGACCAGATTAGTGTAAGGCAGTGTAATAATAATAATAATAACAATGATAATAATAATAATGGGGGAAACGGAAAGGTACACTCAGAGGAAATTTTACAGTTAAGGAAGAAGCAACCACTCTTTACGAAGAAAGTAAAAGAACATTACAGCAGGATCGCCACTGGCTTCTATTCTCAGCCATATCTGATAACGTCTCTAGCCACTGTGTCGCACCATCTCTCGGACCCAAGCCAGGGAGTCGTGAAGGACCAACACAAGCCAGTCCTTTGCAGCTTTCTTTCATACCTCGACACCATGTCATACACTGACCACCTCTCCACTTTTTCCAACCAGTCCCAGAGTCGGCAAATAATGCACGACGAGGAATTCTCTGGGACGACATTCGTAGAACATGTCCAAGCCACCGAAGCCGGTGTTTCAAGATGGTGACACCAATTTCATTATCGTCTCTGTGCCCGAACACACGATGCCGAACCTCTGCATTACTAACATGGTGTTGCCACTGGATGTCATCAATCCTTCGGAGACAGCGATGATCAAACTCAGAGAGTCGTCTAACATCCTCAACTCGGAGAGGCCAGGTTTCACAAGCATAGAGCAAAACTGTTCTTACCGACGCATTGTAGATCCGAGCTTTTGCAGATAGACTAACATCACGAAGGCGCCAAAGATGGCCCAGATTGGCATAAGCCGCTCTGGCTTTCACTATGCATGAATCAATCTCATCATTCACGCCACCGCCAGCACTTATGCAGCTACCCAGATACACGAACTTCTCGACCACTTCTATCTGCTCACCATCCAGAGTGAGTACAGGATTAGAATCCTGCCAGTCTTGTAGAAGTACTTTGCACTTCGAAGGTGCGAAGCACATACCACACCTACGGACATTGATTGCCAACTGATTAAGTGCGGATTACACGGCTTGGGCATTCTCGCACAGTAAGACAATATTATCCGCATACTCAAGGTCGAGAAGTCTTCAGGCAACAGATCCACACTGCCATTACTTACATCCATCAAAGCTGTTTCCAGAATGTCATCGATAGAAAAGTTGAAGAGGAATGGTGAGATTGGACAACCCTGTCTAGCCCCACTACGTGAATGGAACTGAGGACAGAGGTGGTTGTATGCCCTCACTCTACCTGAGGTGTTTGTTAGCCCCCATATGCCCTGGTATGGCCAAGAGTGGGGTGGGACCGTCCCCCTCTCGAAATGCTCTCACACGGCCACGCGTATACAGCCTCTGCCGAGGAAGTCCTACTCACTACCTTCTCGTGGCGAAGGTGTTGTTTACGAGATTGAGAGGACGAAATGCGAATGTCCGGCGCTTTAACCGGATCCCAAATCAATGGTGCACATGGGCCCGAGTATACTGAGGGAACAAATGGCGTATGAACCAATCGTTGGTCACCGGCTACCATGGGACCGCATCTCCTTACGATGCTCCACTGCCTTGTGGGTCAGACGTTCAGGTCGAAGGCTCGGGGTGTGGCCCCCTAAGAAAACCTTCTGCTTCGGTTTGGGCACCCGGGCAGTATCACAGCCCACACACAAATAAAATGAAAGTGACGATATTTACTTAGAAATTCAATGGAGTTTCCTTGGATATGTAAGATAATCGTTGTCCATATATGGAGACCAAGTTATGTTGTTTAATATTTTTTTTACAGTTGTATGGATAATCAAATATGTATCTGTAGTATTCTTGTATTTGGCTTTTTTTTCAGATATGAACCGGAAATATTTCCAGCTTTAATTTATCGTATAATAAAACCCCGTTTAGTGATGCTTATTTTTGTAAATGGAAAGATTGTTATGACAGGTAAGTGAACTGTATTCTCGATTATACAGAACTTTAACTAGAAAGTTATAATTTAAAACTTCCGTCTACTTAATAAGATTTGAGAATCCATTTAGCTTTCACACAATAGTCGTAGTAGACAACTTTTAGCTCTAGGTTGTTGAATTCCTTTTTTTGTTTTACTTTGTAGATGATGCAGATCCGTTTACTTTTTATCTCTCTCCATATTACGAAGTGTAGTAATTCCTTCATGCATAAATTCCCATTCTATCTTTTTGAACCATATTCTGAATGTTTAGTCTTTGTAATTATCATTGCTACTACATTATATCGATACCTTTTGCTATTCGCTTTTTTAATCTAATCATATCATGTGGTACGGCACTTTGGCCTAGTGCAAGTTTGTGCCAGGCTGTAATTTGATGACTGATTGTAAGCACTCTGCATTCTCCATACATCATACTCTGAACAGATGTTGTGTTATACGTTTACTTGGAAATGATATTTGCATAAAATCTACAATCCCAAAGCTGCTATCAACAGGACCCTTTAATATAAAACTACCAATCTTTTATGTGAAGGATATAGATATTGTTGTCGGTTGACAAGCCCTAGTAAAGGATAGATGGCAAAAATCTGTACATGATGTTTGTTCATTGAATCCTTTTTTATAAGCGTTTAAATGGGAATCCTTCGCTTTACTAAAAAAATTAGAAAAGTAGATACAAAAATAGAGGATCATTGGCAGTAGTGCAAAATAAAAGATGGATTACTGAGATTAATTTCCAGCTGTGTCATTGAATAATACCTAAGGTCATTGCTCAGCAACGCGGATCTATGACCCCACCACAGGGGGTTGAACCCAGAACCGATCTGGTGCCCAAGTATTTGACCTCTAGAACAATGAGCCGATATCCAATGGTGTACTTTTGTCGTATTAAAATAAAACAGCTGTCCAGTAGTCTAGCTAAAACCAGTTCATGATTTAAACTATGAAAATTTGAGGATCTCTGTAAGCCACTAGTGATTTTCTAAATGTTAATCTTTTTTCACTGTTTCACGTTGTTAGGTCCACCGAAATAACGCATCAGAGGTCGATTATAGATTAAAGATTATCATAACCTTTCGGAATATTTATATGCTAGTATACATTAATAGTAAATGGTACTATAATTATCGGCCTAGCTACACTGTCAACTCTTCCCGCAGGCAAGAGTGCGAATGACCATTTCGTTATGGCGGGACAAATTAAAATTGTATCATCTAATAAGAGAACTATTAAGTAATAATACATATGTGATATCCCAATCGGCAGGAATATAAATGCTCAATTTATTTTAAATTACCAAGTTAAACCTTGGTATTAGACCCTACGAATAGAATAATTAGCCTAGGATTACCCAGTGGAATACAAAGAATTATTCATTAGAAAAATTAGCTACTCGTAAGTAATTTAGTTAATTTCAGAAGGGGTTTTGTGGAGATTGTAATAATAATAAACAACTGTCACAAAATTATTCTAACCGGCAAGTTTACATAGAACTTTGAGTTGATGTTAAACATTTATAACTCAAGATGCAGAATTTCCTTCATAAGGATGCTCAATTAGCTTGTTCTGTTTAAAAACGACATCAACTTCTTATAAAATACTCATTGGTTACCTCGATTGGATTACATCGGCGTTTCGCGAACTTGAGATCTCTATTTAGCTCAAAATTCATCTTTTATAATATGGAGTGATAATTTCTGACATTTTCACCAAGTAATTTCATCACAGTAATACTTTTTTATATTAATTTATAGGTGCCAAATCACGTGAACATCTGTATGAAGCATTAAATAATGTTTATCCTATTTTATACAATTATCGTAAAATCAACTGACTAGTCATTTGCATATATGGATATTCTTTTGTAATATATATAATACACGATGTAAATAATTTCCTTTGACTAATTTTTGTTCTTCACATGCCACTAATACTTACCGATGGAGCAAACCAACACCACAGTATTTCATAATATTTATTAGTAGACCTAGTTTTTAAAACGTTATTACTCAACTGATTTCAGTTCGCGATGACAATTCTTATAATTACTGGTATAGGTATATATAGGTCGATTTCGAAATGGTTGGGTTTCCAAGTGTGTAGAGCAGTTCTAGTAGACGACATGTCATAAAATGTGAAGCCCGTAGTTTTTGACAGTGCACAATGTCCTAAATTATCATGATTTCAGACATTGTAGATTATAATGTATAACAAATATATACAAGTTGTCTTTGAAAGTCTCAGTTTTTCATTTCATTCAGATTATTGATAAAGAGTTAAACACTAACAGAGGACACATTCGAAAGATACACCATATTACCTTGATGTGGTGATGGCTTAGTAGAACTATATTGGTTGAAACACTCGTTTCCTTAGGTCTTACCATGCTAGGAAGGTCGGTTGGAGATTAGTATGACTAGCAGTCGGAACTTGGGATCGGAAGATGAAGTACACTGCTGAATGTATTGGAGTTTGACGAGAATACAATGTTTCTGTCATAGCCGGCATCCCCGGGGGGATGGTCGTTTATTACAACGGGAGTCGGTAAAGGTTGAACCCACAAGTAACACCGCCTTGCCCCATGGATTTTCATCAATGTCAATGTCTTAGAAGTACGAATCTAAGGCATCAAAAACTACCCTACTCTTCTCTTCTAGCTTCATCGCTCTTCCCACGAACCGATGCTAACGATCTGAGTTCGCGAAACCCTACTAAAAATGCGCTCCGAACTACATATATGGGCTTCTGCGTACAAACCTTATGTCAAATTGGACAACAGGCTTCATTAGCTGAAACTAGGATCTAACACTAACATGTTATATCTCTGAATTGTCATACAGCTTGAAGTGTGGCCATTAATTCGACTTCGCTTAGTCAATATGGAGGCGTAGCCAAGATTTCAGTCTGTTAAACAAAGGGCTAATGTGCTCCTCACCGGTCCGCTCTATGGTTTCGAAACACGGTAGGTGGAATTAGAAGACATGAATGCTTTTGACCATAGATGTCTTTGGAAGACTCCTCAGGAATGTGGGCATTACCGAGTGGATGATGCTAAGATTACATATGCGCCACACAGATCTCATTTGATATGTGTGAGGGCTGTGATACTGCCCGGGTGCCCAAACCGAAGCAGGGAGGGTAGTAGTAGATGAAAATACCAAGTTGCTTGATAGGATTGTGAGTCGTCGACTAGGGTGGCGGTGACACGTATTGTGTTCGGCTAATATAACCACAATGTGCCATATTAGCTAGCGCGTAGGTAGATAAGTTTTCTACCTTTAGATCCTAAGTTCTAAAATTTCTTCACACCTTTTATCCTGCGACTTCATTATTTTGCAGCATGTTTTCTATAATCAAACTCGTGCTTAACATCACTAGTACTAATACAACTTTGGCACTCATTTTATTAATTTCCCTACCTCATACTGTTGTGATGCAGCTACTTGACCCGGCGCATGTTTGTACCAGGTTCTAGCATTACTTACTTACGCCTGTTACTCCCAATGGAGCATAGGCCGCCGACCAACATTCTCCAACCCACTCTGTGCTGGGCCTTCTTTCCTAGTTCCATCCAATTCTTGTTCATTTTTCTCATGTCTATCTCCATTTCTCGCCGTAATGTGTTCTTTGGTCTTCCTCTCCTCCTTCGGCCTTAAGGATTCCATGTGAGGGCTTGCCTTGTGACGCAGTTGGGTACTTTCCTCAATGTGTGTCCCATCCACTTCCAGCGCTTCTTCCTGATTTCTTCCTCCACTGGGATCTGACTTGTTCTCTTCCACAGTAGGTTGTTGCTAATAGTGTCTGGCCAACGGATCCGAAGTATTTTGCGTAGACAACTGTTAATAAACACTTGTATCTTCCGGATGATGGCTTTCGAAGTTCTCCGGGTTTCCATCCCATACAGCAGAACTGTCTTGACATTTGTGTTGAAAATTCTGACCTTGGTGTTGGTTGACAGTTGTTTTAAGTTCCAGATGATCTTCAGTTGTAAATATGCTGCTCTTGCTTTGCCAATCCGTGCCTTCACATCTGCATCAGATCCACCGTGTTCATCGATGATACTGCCCAAATATGTAAAGGTATTTACGTCTTCCAAATATTCTCCGTCAATTGTGATTGGATTGTTGCATGCTGTGTTGTATCGGAGAATCTTGCTTTTCCCTTTGTGTATATTGAGACCCCGTAGAAAACTAACTCGCTAAAAAAAAGCTAACCAGCATTACTTATGAATAACTAAATATCACTCCTGAGTAGAACAATGTAGTCAAACTAATCAAAGTAACTAACTGAAAAAAATTATTATTAACAAGAATCTCGGAATCTCTTCTCATACGTCTCAAATCTCAGTTATGGCGGGGCTATGGACATACATTTAATTTCTATCACAAAATAGAACTGCTTTCCACCTATTGTCATAGAAAAGTATGCTTACACTTATATATATGATGGAATTTTGAGAAAGGTAGTAAGAAAAAACTGCTAAATACGTGCATAAATATATTTAGATCAGAAAAATTCTATATTGAGTGATAGACAATTCTACTCTAATCTTATTCATTACAATTAATACAATGCATGTATAAGAGAATAATTGTGTTCGCCAGAATAATAGTAATGTTTGGAACAAAAAGCTCAACTGAAACAGTTAGGACTTCGTGTGACCGACAATAATAGTTATATATAAGGAACAAATGATGGGAGTAGCTACATCTTTTTTATTTATTCTTTATAAGTATGATAGATATGCGGCGCGGGACGATAACACCATCAATGACAGTTAGGCAACATCAATTCGAATTTCAGAATTACAGTAAATTCTCAACTTGAACAACGGGTATAATCTCTCTTTCTACATATATATAAATACATATATTAGTCATTCTTTGTTAATAGAAAGTTAATCAGTGGAATTAGATTATTTGTTGCACATTGTCTCCATGATACTTTCGATTTCATTTAAACTTACATTTTCTAACAAGCCTAAAGTTTAATTAAAATTAGAGGGCAAGAGAAAAATATTATTGTATTATTTTTTATAAAATAAATAGGGCAAAATCTTTAACTTAAATATTGTACAAAATATCTCAAATTGACTGAAGTCAAAAATGTTATTGATGGTTGTATTCTGAATGAGTAATGTGAATGTGGTTGTTTTCAAACCTTACAATGAATAAGTACCATACAGGGAAAGAACATATATTCAGTGCTATGTGGTTTTTATTGGTTCTTCAGCTGGTGTTAAATCGCGATTACAATGACTTTTAGCTTCAAAATAAATCATGAATCGAGGGATTCATAAAAGCTTTTTCCAGAGGATTATTCAGAACACTGGTTTAGTGACAGTACAGTTATGGCCAATGTCGTGTTCATCGTTAGTGCTAGTTGGGTTTTAATAATCAATCTGGAGTACAGCCACTGGTTCACATGAATCGATATCGCATGAACTATGATGCTAGTTTGTTGAATGAAAACACTATTTCCCTTGAGATTTCAAGTACACCTTGTTAGCGAATGCTGACTAGCACGAAGCCTAGGTCCGGAGTATCCCAATAACTATTTCCGATCACCTGAGGTAGTAGATTATGGAAGACAGTAAACTGTCTAGGGAAATGTTATTTGGTTTCGCACGCAAACGCTTAATGTCAAATCACTGAGTCAGGATCCAAAGGTGTGCGTATCTAACTTCAATCAATCCACAATATTACGCAACTCCTATCTATTGCCTGTAATGAATAACTGTCAAACCCAACATGATTGAACCTTACTCGTCACGGGTTTTTTATAAGAACTCCAGTAGTTACATCTCGAAGATAGTCACCGGCGAGCACATGAGTATTATTAGTACGAGGTATTTGTGGAGATTGTAGAATTTCCATAGTTTTAATTACAAACTATTTTTAGTTGGATCGCCAGTGAAAACCTGGAAGCGCCGGGCAGCCTTCCCGTCCTAGTATGATCCAGAGGTTAAGTGTTCACGAGCATGGCTAAAAGTCTTAGGCTGTGGGGTCGTGAATGCGTACTACTGAATAGTCCCCAACTAGGACGAAACGGCCTTCCATATTATAAGTCTAAGTAAGATCAGTTCAGGATTTGAACTGTGAAAATTCTACAATCTCCAAGATTCCCCATATACCAGAAATATTTAGTAATTAATTTGCACGATAGTGGTGTACATTCATTTTTAAGTAACGCAACGGAAACAATTACTTAAATATTAATGTAGATTAAAGCGTAAACAGGGTAACTATGGGTGAGTTAAACTGTTATGAACAAACTCTTGAGCTGCATTTTACAAATGTTTAATACAAAAAAAGTCTCGCTTGGATATTGTCACTAAATATTTCACAAATCTCTCAATGTTTAGTTCATATAGTGAAAGCTATCCAGAATTTCATTGAACATCTCATTCAATCGCTCCTTCATTTCACAACACATAATTTGTTAACTGACAAAATTGTTCTTATAATAGCATGGATAAAATAAAATTTAATGGAGATTAATCATTCACACAGAAATCTTTGGTGAGACTATAATTTATAGACGACTTTTGGGTGATACTAAACTGACCCTGAAAAAAATTCGACCACTTGCTAGAGTAAAACCAATATGAGGAATAAGGATTGGGATTTAGAGTTAAAAGTTAAAGTTAAGGTTTTTATCATGAACTAACATTCCCTATAATGTTCAAAATGTTATTCAGCTATATGAATAAATGAATTTTGAGTCAAAATCTAAATCTGATTGATTCGTCCATAACTTATAGTCCAGAGTTAAATCTTCAATTCGGATTTAATAAACAATATAATAACAACAAACAATTTACCTGTAACATCTAAAAATTCCTCTACACTTGCAATCGTTAAAAGATTCTCTTCAAAATAAGCAAGTAGTTTTGGAGCTGCCTTCATCAAAGCCTCATCTGATATACGAATGTACTGCGATAAAGAAACAGACCATGACGGTGATGTTTGACTAACACTACTACTACTTGATGTAACTGACTTCAATTTGGTTTCTATTGAACTTGTCAATGGAACATTCTAGAGAGA